ACAGTCTGCTCTTGCAATTATTGTTGCAATATCGTCGTCGTCTTCCTCAAGTGGTTCTACTTCTCGCCAGAGGGTAGGGTGCATAGTATCATAGAATCGTCGCTTAAGGATGTATTTGGAAATGTTTTCATTCTTTATACGGTCCTGATACATCAATAGATCCATAGCTACATCTGTAATCCTCTTGACATGCATTCCATTCACTTGCTGGAGCTGGTTGAATTTGTTATATAGGAGGTTGTTTGGGATCGAGGATTGGAATCGGCCTTTAGGTAATCGAGGACTGTAGATCCTCTTAATCTCACATTTCCGCCGTAATCCTTATAGTATTGGTAGTATGCGTCGGTTGCCTTTCCTTCGCAGAATGATCCTATGTATAGTCTGGTTGTAGGGTCTTCCACATCTTTCCCATGCAGGAGAAGATAGTGTGTAAGTTCCATTGCCCATTGGTCAAAGGCTTCGGGTTTAAGGTCTTTTCCTTCTCCTGTAAACTTCGCTGGGAGGTGGAGTTTAAACTTAGGAGGTTCAAATGCTGCGGGTACCTCCTCTTCTTCAGGTCTAGCCCGAGACTTTCCTCCTCCAGAGGGCCCTCCTCCTGTGCTAGCCATGTCTGGTTCGCTACTGGATTCGGGGTTGATTGAAGGTTCAAAGGAAGGCTTCTTTGCTGGAGTAGAAGGGAATTCTCCTGGAGGTTATGTGTCTTCCGTGTTTGCAGGATCGCCCAACTCTTTAGCAGAGCGCCGGGGTTGTTTCTTTCTTGTATGGTCTTGTTGTGGGATTTGCTTCCCACTCCTAGTCGTCAAAGACTCTATGTTGGATTTTGAGATGAAGCCGAATGTGCCATGATTCTGCCACTTCTCTCCGCTAGCGTTCTGAGGTGGATATCGATAGGTTGATCAGGCCTAAATGTGGGGACAGGTTCTTAACCACTTGTTGAGGTTAAAAAAATGTAACGTGTTCGTAAGGTGTATATCATGTTATCAGTAATAGATACAATAGTTAGCAGGTGGCCTGCTCTTCCCGAGAGGAGGTGAGAGCTGAAAACTAAAGGAGGCTTCGAGGGTGTACTGAGGAACAAAGAAGTAACCGTTCAATCAAGTATATTGCAATACAGTCTGTTGAAGTCTGCTTTTTCTATCATAGAAACAGGCAGTCTTTAAATACAAAATCTGTTCATGCCTAGCATGAATGAAACTAATCAAAGCTATCAATCTATACACTCTGGTAAAACTAATTAAGTATCAAAGCGATACTTAAAACAAAACATAAAACAAAACCAAGTATCCAACGATACTTAAAACAAACCAAGTATCAAAGCGATACTTAAAGCAAAATATAAAACAAAATCAAGTATCAAAGCGATACTTAAAACAAAACATAAAACAAAACCAAGTATCAAACGATACTTAAAACAAACCAAGTATCAAAGCAATACTTAAAACAAAACATAAAACAAAACCAAGTATCAAACGATACTTAAAACAAACTAAGTATCAAAGCGATACTTAAAACAAAACATAAAACAAAACCAATAACCGAGTACCTGTACAGGTTACAAAGATTGTAAAGGTATTTTATATTCGTTAAAGTAATAAGTAGGAAAAGTACTTAGAATTCAATCTAATTTTATTTAAACTCGTACTGCCAACACTGGCATATGACGAGCCCCCACCGACACAGGGATACCGCTAACCAGTATACCACTAATCCTAAGCTTAACTAGTCTACGGTTCCGTACCTGCCATCCCCGAGTCATGCCTGCACAAGAACTAATTACATGACTATCAAACAACCTAGTGCCCGCCCCGGTCCAAGTCCGTAGCCCCTCTGGTATGAAGCCAACCAGCACTAAGTGTAGCCGAAGCCGAGCAAAAGACCAACCCAACCAGGTTCCTCATCCAACAAAATATAAAATCACTACCGCCCAGTCTGAACACCGTCCCACAAAACCTCCTCCACAGTAAAAAACCAACAAAACCACAAATCTAAACTACAGGTGACACAATGGCAGAGAGGAAGTGACCAACATGTCCACCTCTGGCATCTGCATGCCAGGCCGTCGACCCTTTGAACCCACTTTGCCAAGTGCCTCCAAAGAGCGTAATGATGAGGAGGACCTGTACCTGCTGCCTGTCCCCCCAAAAAACAAAACCCATAAACAAAGGAAATACATAGAGGTGGTGACAGACCGAAATGGTCAGTGGGGCCTATCTCCCACCCGTGGTGCCTTGCCCCCGTCAGCCATGCCCATTGCCAAACCAAAGAAACCAAACAAACTTCCACAACACCCAGCATGCAGAACCCAAACAAGTCCAACCAGGTGGTCGCAACCCACTATCCGCACAGGTAGCCATCAGCCAACCGGTCTATCGGGGAGCGTTACAGCACTCAGCAGATTCACCCAACAGCCCAAACCGGACTGGAAACACTTAATTAGACCTCGCCCAACCTAACGCAGGCCCAACTGGTGCTTGCAGGTGCCTCTCCCCCTCCCAATCAGCCTCCCCCAAGCCCCACACCCCAGACACCACAGAGCCCATCCAGCCCCCCCAGCCCCTCAGACAGATCAACCATCCGATAGCCACAGGACAGTTTATACCCAGCCCCGCCAGGCAGACATTGGTCTTGGCCACACAAACAGAGTCCTAACCCCCAGCACCGTATAGCTAAGGGGGGCCCACCAGCCACAGCCGGGAGCCACAAAGGAGGCAGCACCAACACCCGAAGGCACCGGCACCAGCCACACCATCCAATCCAGCCGAACCGAAATCCAACCGAGTCAGGAAAGAGTAAGCAGAGCCAGCCAAAGCCAGCCCCACAGGTCCAGCAATAGGCACGAACCGAACGACAGGCAAGAGGCATCCCCAACAAATACGACAAGAAGGGGGAGGGCAAACGAACAGAAGCAGACAAACAGAAGGTAGGCCTCACTTGCAATGGGTGAAGCCGCCAACCACAGACCACAACTGAACCACCCAGAAGCACAGACAACGTGAGTGTCTGGCAGCCAATCGTCGCACACCACCCCAGGCGGCAACAATAACCACACCAGGGGGTAAGAGTTTTCAGAGTCAAAGCCAACCCCATAGATGCGAGGAGGAGATGCCTGACTGAATCACCGTAAATGTCGCAAGGACAAAAACCCCAAGAGAACGGCGATAAACAACATCGTAGGATTCCGACAGTAGAAATGAAAACGTAACGAAGAGGGGCTGGGCGGGTACCGCCCTGCCACCTCAGGAATGATGCAGCTGGTATGACGAGTTGATACTTGGGAAGGTCATCAGTCTAACCCAAGAGCGTTTTTGTATCGCGAGAACTAAGGACTCCGTTAAAACCCAACAAAAGACATGAGCTGGCCCAAAGAACGACACAGGTGATCCCCCCAAACACAATGTTCAATCCCCGCAATCGGACGCGAAACCTGCGAGTAGACGATAAACAGGAAACCGTAGACGTTTTACCGAAAGGGGCTCGTATGCGACCGTGATGAAGAGCTTGAAGTGACAGTATCGTGAGAAACCATCAGGTGACGAAACGAGAAGCAAACAAGGAGTCCACCACACAACACCCAACAGACCTCAACACCAAAGACCCCAGGAACTACTGAGCGAACTCAGATATCTCCCCCAGAATCCAAGGCATCAAGGCCCATCATGAGGGCGAAAGAAACACTTGGGGCAAAGCGACAGCAACGATAAGGAAAAGTACTTAGAACAAAGCGTGAAGAACCTATCCTCCTCAGCCGCATCGGCCTCCTTATATAGTATTCTTCTCACCTATAGTCATGTGACCCAAAGTGGTCACATGTGCGAAACCAAATCATAATAAACTAGTCATATGACCAAAGTGGTCACATGCTCAAAACCCATGACCTCATAGCGAGGTTATGTGCAAAAACTCATAAACCAATCATAACACAATAAACAAGTCATATGACTCAACTGTGTCATATGCATGAAACCCATGACCTCATAACGAGGTCATGTGCAAAATATAAATCATATGTACAAGGCTTACCCGCAAGGCACACTTGCCAGGCACACGTCCCATGACTCATATTTGAGCCATGTGCGAAAGCGTTACAAATCCCACACATAACAAAGCATATGACTCGAATGAGTCATATGTGTGAAACAATAACATACCTGTGACTCATAACCATGTGTCATGTGGAAACCTTTTTTCATGCCAAGCCATGTTCATGACAACTGAATTCATATGAAACTTCTCTAGCATGTAGAGTGGGGTATCCTTTGATAGACCCAAAAAATATTTCTCAAGAAAATTGAGTTTCCTATAGACCAATAAAGTCTATATTTTGAAATATCTATCTTTTTTTTTATTATGTTATAATATTATGAATTCAATTGTATTCGTTGCATTTTCAAAGTTGTACCTTTTTCGCATAACTACACTCATATGATATTATACAATTTCTTAAACTATATTTTATACAGATATGAAAATTTGTTTTATTAGGGTTTGCGGGGGGGGCAGTTCTATTGGAAATTTTAATGGTTCTGTTTGGTTATCAGAATGGAATAGTCAATAGGTTTCTGATTTGCCAAATACCAATTGCAATCCAAAAGGAAGGAAGTAGTCACTTTGTATGGGGAAATGAAATGGCTCCATTTTTGCCAAACATGGCCTTGCCTATTCAATCTTAAATTCTGTATCATAGCTAGACTAGTCTAACTAAATTTCGAGACCACCACCAGTGGGAATTTCCGGCGGTGGAGGCAGGTTTGATAACTCACGCTCTAACACGCAGGAGGGATTTACGGGTTGTAAAAATTATTCGTATTGTCTTTAATACTGACATACCTTTTGACCTCATTTTTAATTGTATGCTTGCACTATTGGAGAGCTGTGCAAACGTCCACGGGGGCGTATTGGATACCGAATCATAATCCATGAGGAAGGATTTGGGGTATTGAGGCAATCCTTTCTGCGGTCTTGACGGAATGGTGTCCAACTTCATTGGGGGGAAACAACACTTGGAATCAGTCTTTTCTCCGCTCCAATTGCATTTCCAGTACAGTGATGCTACAACAGCCCCAAATTCTCCGTCGGCCCACACAGCCAAACAATTGCTAAGGGGAGCCAGGGTTGCAAGCAAAGTTGTGGCAATTACTTGAAGCTATTCTTCATCTCACGAAGCTTCTTCATAACGCTGACCGAATCTTTTTCTCCTGTCTTCTCCTGGATAGCGGGGTCCTAAGTTGCATATTAGCACCACTCACAGAAGGGGGGAACGAGCCGAGAACTTACATCAACACGCATAAAGACATTGTGCTCCTATTTAGACATTCAGTGTCAGTGAAGGCGTCGATGGATTTTCCAACATCCTTCCTACCTTTTCATCACCAATGGTGAATTTGCCTTGGGTCTCCGTATTCTCTTCACAGAACTTTTCCAGACTCTGTATCGCCGGTGAACAAATGACGGATTTCCCAAAGCGAACATTGGATCTCGTGTACCTGAGTTCTCTTAGAACCAACTCACTTACCGGTAGGCCATGTAAGAGGGCAGCTTACTCATGCCCCGGGTAAACCTTCGTGTCATCTGGCAACGAGCCGAGCGTAGTATTGAGTGCCTTGTGCATCTCTTCTGCTGTCCCTTCGAAGAACCTCCCGCATCCTAATAATCCGTCTGATAAGCGTAGTTCTGTCAGGTTCTAGGAACTAATACCAGCTATAAATAAGGTATCACCCGTGAAGGCCGCTTTATCCCCTGAATCCTCCACATAGTAGCAGATACTATCTTGTGTGTGGCATGGCGTGTGTAACGACTTTACCATTATTCCCTCGCCAATATTGAAGGTTTCCCCGTCTGCCAGCTTGCGCGTTACTGCTTCACAGTCTTTTCCACCCAGTACTTGAAGTTGGGGATATTTTTCCAGCTAGATTACGTCGGCCTTTGAGGAACCAAAAGATGTTCTCTGAACAGCACTTACTATTCCATTGTTGCCGCCAGCGTGGTCGCGATGACTGCATGAAAGGTTAGCACCGCTTTTACCTGTAGCCAGTTTGGAATAATTACTGGTGAGTGTTGATGATAGCTTTCAGGTTAATCCCGTTTTCGGAGATCTCCTTCCCAAGGACAGGGAGCACCCTGAAATAAGTTAGCATAACACCTTTCCCCTAGTCTACTTGATTCCCGACATACTCCGGGGGGTGCGCAGGGTCCACAATCATAGCATCCTTTGTCTTATCATCAATGATCAAGTAAGAGTAGTTGTCACTGGTTCCCGTCCCTAGGCGAGGTGTGAGAATTGGATATAAGCAGCTAGAATCAATTGCCGGGGTCAACAAACACATAGGAATAGATTTTATATGCATTTTTCTAGTGATAATAGAGCCAATTGAGTATATCTGTCGAGGGTTGAAGAGAGTGTGAAACATTTGAATGGGAGTGGGGGAGAGTTGATCATAAAATTAATGACGTCTTCGCCACACACCCTCTACAGCTTGGGTAATGCAAACCCTATACCCTATTCCAGACTCCTGTCACTCGGAGTATGATATGTAAAGTTACTTCTATGATACCACAACCTTGGTAGTTCTGAGAATGGGTTACCTTTTCTAGATTATGCAAGGGAAATAAGCTATACATAGTCTTCTAAGGCCCTGTTTGGCGAAAAAGGAACCGTTCCGTTCGGCGACCGTTTCTCATACAAAAATTCTTGTCGTTCCTTTTCCTTCCGTTTCGAAATGGACATTTTGTATGGGAAACGGTCCCCATATGGAATGGTTCCATTCTTGCCAAACAGGGGCTAAAGTTACCTCTACCGTAGCCTCCACATAGATCTTGCAGGATGGCTAAAGCGATTGATATCTTGTGCTACAACCCCCGTCATTCGCGCTTCGGATCCCTAACACTTAGACTACTTGTTCTGACGCGAGTGCTTGGGTTCAGTCTCTCTCGTCCCTTGGGTATGGATTGCAGCTGGGCACAATTAGCTCACTAAAGCCGAGCCCTGTGTTCAATTATTAAACTAACATATCATCATACAATGTCATGTAGTTCTGGTATATAGCAGGCACTCCAATCATTCCTCTCCCTCCTCTCCCTCCTCCACGATGCGAGCTTTGATAATGAACACGTCTTTAACCGGTCTATCTTCCCTATCCCTTTGGACCATTCCCATCCGCTGCACAATTCTTATTCCTGCTGAAACGCGTCCAAAGATGGTATGTGACCCATCTAGCCATGGTGTAGGTGCAAGCGTGATAAAGCTGCTAAGAATTAGCCTCTATTCCATCCATTAATCAAAAATCTAAGCACACAATTGAGACCCATTAGTGTCTTTGCCTGAATTGGCCATGGAGAGAATTCCGGCTCCGGTGTGTTTAAGGTCTTTGTGAATCTCGCTGTGATTTCATTAACAAGTATAATTTCATCAGCAAGTGTGGCTATATGATTAGGGTCTCGCTAGTGCACCTCACTCTTCAAACTTTCCGCCATAAATCGAAGAACCACCTCGCCCTGTTCCAGTTGGATCGCCGCCTTGGATCATGAAATCTGGAATTATTCGGTGGAACTATATTCGAGGTATCAATTTCTGTCACTAGGGGAGAGATAACCGTTGAACTCACAATACAGCTGTTGTAGTAACCCCGTTTGACCAAGCCCTCGAAGTTCCGACAGGTTTTTGGAGCATGATCGTTATATAGCTCGAGCTCGATGCTGCCCTGTTTAATTTGAATAAAAGTAAGCATAATTTAAGGCTTATTTCGTGGAAAGCAATCACCATATTAGTGTCGAGCAAAACTCTCATCGCCATTTTGTCCAGTTGTAGCGGTTGGTCAAGCTCTACTTGTAGGAATACCTTAGCCTGGGGGTAGTAGTCATCGAATTTCAATGTTGAAAAGATGCTGGCACTTGGGTAACGCGGCTCTGCGAAGGGCCGAGACTTACCCTGCCAAGCGTACTTTCCATTCGTCTCCTGGTGTCGACCCCCCACTGCCCCCACTACCGATAATTTAGACTGCACTCTCATCTTCACAAATCACACTCGTGCAGTTGGATGTGCCGCTGGAAATCGCCGTCATGAGTTCGGTAGTAAGTGAGTATTTACCCGACCCTGATGTTCAACCCTTTTCCTTACGGCCTATGGTCTGACTCCATCAGACAAATCAAAGAACAAATTTGTGCCGAAGGCGAAAGTCCGTCCACGGCCTGGAGCAGCTGCCCGCTCGAGCCCTTCTAATCCAACTCCCCCTTCGCCGAGAAAGCCATCGCAACCCCCCGAGGAACCTCCAGCACCACCAGCCCCTCTACTTGTACCACAGGCTATAGCGCCACCACCATCACATCCAGAAACGCGCAATGGGGCACCCGTAGCAGAACTTGAGTCCCCGAGACGCCAAGTTTCGGTCCCTGCAATCCGAGCCAAGAGCAGAAATGGGATACCATCCATCCGGCAGACGAGCGCGGAGGTCTCTTCTTCACCATCACGCTCGGGAGTCCCTATTGTGCAGTCTTCGTTGAGCCGGGGGATACCAAGGGTACGAGCTGCCGCCCCTGAAGGGGCACCAACAGCACGACTCAATTCTACAGAGAGGTCGCCAGAAGCTTTGAGAATGGCGAATGCGAGGCCAAGTGCATGGCTGGCTACCGTGTTGGGAGGGACAGTAGATATGCGTGCGTTTCGGGATTCCGGGATTGCTGCAACCCAAGAGACGCAGGAAGTCAGCCAAGGAGGTCTATCAGTTGTTGAGCCGGAAGATTCTGGCGAGAACATTGATGGAGGAGAGTCGCCTACAATTGAAAAGGTAGCGAAGTTTCCAAGGAAGCGGAGAGCTAGGGTTGCCAAAGATCGATTACCCAAGAAGCGGAGGGCAACGCGAGGGAGACTCAGGGCCGCGGAGAATAACATCGATGAAATACAGGAAGCACAGGAGGTACAAGAAGTAGAAGGAGAGCAGGAAGAGCAAGGCGGTGAACAAGGAATAGCTGGTGGAACGGAAGTTAATACTGAAGGAGATAATTCAGATAACACCTTATATGAAGATCCACACAAACCTAGTAAACCAAAAAAGTCTCGCCGCCCCCGAAAACCCGCAGCTAAAAAATCTCCAAAGGAACCAAGGGAACCCAGCAAGCCCAACGAAAAGAGGCCTGGCGGCCGCTATCGTGCACCGTCCCCTGAAGATGGAGAGCAGCGCGAGATAACTCCATCTGTCATCAAGATGAAGGATCTGTGTCGAGACATCAGAATTGGCAGAAAGTCTAAACGCTTTATAGAGCTTGAACAAATGGACTGGACGAAACCGGCCGGCGATGATAAGGCTGCAAAGACAGCTCTCGATTTTGAGCAAGCTGCTGGTGAAGAAGTGGAGCAAGAACCAGCGGAGGAAGGAACTGAACGACTGGCCAATGGGGGGCAAAGGTATGATAAACCTTGTTTCCTCTTGTTTAATGACCAGAATTCATATGATATTACAGTCTTCCAAGAGCCGGCGCTCCGCAAATGCGAATGGTTAATGGCGAACTTGTTCTTGACCAGGAGTCCATTCAAGTGAACTCTCACGAGCGCAATCCCATCGACGAGGGGTCTATGGAAGTCGTTGAGGAGAACATGGCATTCCGTCGTATTACATCGGCGACATATAGCAAACACAAGAGATCCGAGAGATGGGATGCAGAAGAGACGGATAAATTCTACAATGCCTTGTCCATGTTTGGCACCGACTTTGAAATTATATCAAAATTATTCTCGGGCAGAAACAGACAACAGTTGAGGAAAAAGTACCTCAATGAAGAACGGAAGGATCCCCAGAGAATCACCGACGCCTTGAGGACTCGGGTGCCAATTAGTTAGTATTCACTGCGCATCATCTAGAAGAACCATTCGTTAATCAGGGTGTAGATGTTACGGAATATTCTGAAATGACAGAGCTCGAGATCGGCGACCCTCAGTTAGTTGAAGACGAGCTCGAAAAGATCCGGGAAGCTCACGAAGCTGAAGAAGAGGCCGCAATAGGCCATGCAGCAGCTATGGAACGCGAACGGCAAGAAAACGCGAATGCTGCAATGCGCGCCGGGGATGATGCAGTGGCGGCAGCAGCAGCGGATCAGAACAAAAAGGGCCGGAAGAGGAAGGGCACGAAGAGCAGGGGTGGCGCTAGTCATGGCGGGGAAGAAATCCTCTCTATGGGTAGAGAGGAATACGAAGCGGAAAGGTTGAGGGAGCTGGCTGAGGCCGAGGAGCTGTGATGTCTGTGTTTCTTTTTCTTTCTGTCTTTACTCCGGTATTCGTATTTTTCAGGCAATAGGGGGGGGGGCATAGCTATCAGTCGGCGTTGGTGGGTTACCGCATTCTTCGTTAGTTCTAGAGACTTTCCACTAGTTTTCTTACATTATAAAATACCGTATTCACGGCTAAGGTATCTTGTATCATTACTCTGATCAAATCATATGCTACACATCCAACAGCTAATCCATCACAAGCCCATTCTCTTTTGCCGGGAATGGTTCTATCGCTTAGGAGGACATCGCGGGGTGTTTTGAGTATGATATTGGTAGTGTTCCGCTAGTGGACTAGACCCGGAAACTAATCATAGACTACGAGTATCAAAAGAGTTGGACATCATAGTGGCTAGGCGAATCTCACCGACTACCTAGGCAGTTGGTCTTCACATTGTAGACTATAGTAGGTATTGCGACGGGTTGCACCACCTTACCTGTACAGTACAGTATCCCTTGGGCGGTGTGAAACAGTCAAATTCGCGCCCACCCGGACTAGTCCGAAAGGAGGTACTTGGCGCTTATTAATACTGCGAGCGATATCAAATAAACCCTGTCGCCCACCAACTCTTGTATACTGGCAAGATTATGCACGATACTCATTATGTATGATACTCAACAGAAAATAAAGCAAAAGGAAAGACGAAAATAAAGCATAGAGATCCCACTAGGAGGGGAGATTCTTATGCCTGATATCAAAACAATTTCGGCAGAGAGAAAAATCGCATCCCAGCCCCATACAGCCATAGCGCGATCGGGGTGCACGGCATCCTTTTTACTTCATACCCCGTTGGGTGAAGCGGCACTCTGCACATTCTAATCCAGGTCCTCTGAGAGAGGCAAATTTATGTTGCCTCTGGTCACCACTGGGGGAAGGTAGAGAGGTATGGTGTTGCTGTAAACTAAAGCGGGGGGTTGTGGTATTTCTTTGGTGGTATGACTTACGTGCCCGGTGCTGCTTTTGGCCGTACAAGGTAATGATCGATTTGGCAAGTTTTTTCTGAAAAAGCCGTGAAGAGCCAAGGTGAGGGGCATGGGAGGAAGAAGGGGCGCAGGAGGAAGAAGGAGCATGGGAGGAGGAAGAAAGACGACATAACAGAAGGTAAGAATTAATTACACTTGTATCTAAAAGCCAGTAGAAGATAGGGGGCCAGTTGCGTAGACATTTTAACTGTGTAAAATAGTAACTACGGTACTGGTCCGCTACATCGACTCCGACTTTATAGTGATCGTAGTCGTCTGTGATAGTGGGTATGGGCACATGAGCTCGCTCATGAGAACCAAAAACACGGCGGATAGCAGGGCCATTGCTGCTTGATTGTCGTGGCTTCTTTCACTCAGAAATAACCCTCTCCTCCGCAGAATGGATAGTGCTTAGAAAATGCACAGCACGGTTATCCTGCCACTGCAGAGCGAGCACTTTTCCTTCTGGATCAGCAGATCCACTGCTGACCTCATTCCAAGGTATGTTTTTTCTCTCATCTTGGAGGTCCGAAAGGAAGGAGGATGCATTAACTCTAGCGGTTCCACAAGCACCAATGCCTAAGTCTCTAAGCCTTATCATTAGCTGCTGGGAGGCAAAGCAGTTGTCCATGTATATATTAAAATGGTATCCGGAGGTGTAGGGCAGGCTAGTAGTGGTTTGGAACACGGTGGCTCCTGTTGGTGTAAGATCTTTTTGAGGTACTAGATCAGCAAAAAAATCTGATCGAGAAGCGAAGATCCAGCTGTATGTACAACCTACATCACAGAGGGCAAACACCTTGTATCCCTCCTTGATGGGTTTACTTGGCATACGGTAGGTATGGAAGCTCCGGCTACCAAATCGTATCATCATCTCATCGATGGTAACATTCAAGGCCGGGAAATAGTATTTTTGACAGCGATCTCGAATCATGGTATTGAGTGGCTCAAGCTTCTTGAACCACTCAGGGCGTGAGAGTTGTATTTTCGGATCGGATATGTGTAAATACCACTTGATCTAACTGAAGCGTTCTGAACTCATCGCCTGAAAAATACCTCTCTCTCCTCCTCTTTTCCAATATCCTCTGCTCCCGCACTCGCGCTTTGCTCCCATATAGATCAGGAATGGCAAAAACACCCTTATTTCTGACCCAGTTACTTTCTTCCATGGCCCGCCCCAGGCACGCACTCCCACTGAAGAACTCACTCCCGCTCCTGTATTCAAGTTGCTTTGCTTCCTTCCCACAGCACCTTTTTCCTTAGCATACATATTTGTCCCATTTACCAGTATATCAATGACTTCAGAATCCCAAAAGAGTTCAAAGACTCTCAACCCAGTAACTTCGGACCCGGAGTCTTTCCATGGGAGCAATGGCTCCCCAACATGGTCCTTACGTGGACGGAGCGGTGTATAAGGTTGTCTTATCACTCGATTCTTTTGCTTGATTGTTGAATTCGCCTTGCCGGCAGAATTCAGAGAGATGGAAGAGAGAGGGTTTCGTGCTTTATCCGAAGAAGGCATGGTATCGACTTGAGCAATTGGGAACTTCACCGTTGTCCTTGACTGATTGAGAGGAATTGACGTTGCATTCTTACATTCAGACCTTCCTTTTTCCGGGATAGTGTTGTTTCTATTAGGCAAAGATCAGCTGGGCACGAATTTGACTGTTTCACACCGCCCAAGGGATAGCCCGACACTACTTGATAAATTGGCTGTGGAAGTGTAAGTGAAAAGATAGTTGAAGCTCTAGCGATATCTGGCCAGGCATGCTGTACAGGTACTGTACTACCCGAATTACGTCCCTTCCAAGACTACCCTCCGAGTTTGCTTCAGACACTTCCATAAACACCACGGGGTAAGGATGCCCCAGTCTTGATATCTGCAATCTCAAGAGTTAATAAGGATTATAGCTGGGGCTTAGAATTCGCCTGTTACATAGCGAGTATCGACTCCATCGCCGTAGCATTCACTGGGGCCGATTCGGTCATAAATTTGGCGCGGGAGGTACAGTACCACGGCTGTCCACAAAATTTAATGTATGATACTAAGAGAAATTACTCCTATTGCCGGGTCTAGTATCATTGTGCATGCTGTCCCATCCAGTCCACGCCAGTTCAATCGCTGATCCTTTGCGGAACTTTCACAAACTCTTTCGAAAGCATATTATACTTCCTAACTTAATTGGGTATTCTACTCTTGGATCACGGCTGGTCGCCGAGAAGACAAGACAAGATAGATAAGATCAGGGCAAGGGCAAAAAGTTGACAACAAAATTAATAAAATATTAATTTGGGGAACGTTACAGATATGATACTAAGTGGTCATAGGGTATAAAAGATATACAGAAATGTTATAATAATGGGTTGTGACCATATGAAATTGCCTGAATGAAATTTCATAATATTTCACAAGTATGATACTAGGATTTTATCTTGATTGCTTACTATTTGACACCTTCAAGAAGGATTGAATTATGCTGACTTTGAATAATATAATAATATGTTAGAATATAATAACACAAATGTGTTTCCGGTACTATCAGTTTCCAGTAGAGTGAAGAATCCGTGATCTCCAAGCCAGGGAATGAGGCTCTCCTGAAATTCTGCATGAAATCTTGGCAACGGTTTTCTCCCACAAAAAAAAAAAAACTTTAAACCCACCCGGTCTTGACACCTCTATTCACACACAACCCATAATTCGTCAACGATCATTCTTTTCCCAAGATGGCGATTCAAAAGAAGGTGCGCATAGCTTCTAATCCCATAACCTCACTCTATATTAACCAATCTCTCGGTTTCAGCATGGAAAAGGTCGTCTCGACAAATGGTACCCCCCACGTCCTCCACTATCATCAGCCCATGAAATATTTAAGGAGGAAAGAAATGCAGCTAATAGCGCAACAGGTACAAACTTGCCAAACAAAAAGGCTATCGAGCGCGTGCAGCTTTCAAGCTAATTCAGCTAAATAAGAAATACAACTTCCTCGAAAAGTCCAAAGTTCTTATAGATCTCTGCGCAGCACCGGGTTCCTGGTGTCAGGTAGCGGCGGAATGCATGCCTGTCAACTCCCTAATTGTTGGTGTTGATCTTGCCCCAATAAAAGCCATTCCCCGGGTCATTACCTTCCAGAGTGACATCACGACGGATAAGTGTCGGGCTACGCTTCGGGGCCACCTGAAGACCTGGAAGGCTGATACAGTACTTCACGACGGTGCGCCGAACGTTGGTACAGCTTGGGTTCAAGATGCATTTACACAGGCGGAATTGGTGCTGCAGTCTCTGAAGCTTGCAACTAAGTTCTTGATTGAAGGGGGGACATTCGTGACCAAGGTGTTTAGGTCGAGGGATTTTAATAATCTGATGTGGGTTTTTAATCAATTGTTTACCAAGGTTGAGGCTACGAAGCCGCCGTCTTCTAGAAGTGTTTCTGCGGAAATCTTTGTTGTGTGCAAAGGGTATAAGGCACCGAAGAGAGTTGATCCAAAGTTTTTGGACCCGAGGACTGTGTTTGAGGAGTTGCCGGATCCGACTCCGAATAATGAGGCAAAGGTGTTTAATCCTGAGATTAGGAAGAGGAAGAGGGACGGATATGAGGAGGGTGATTATTTGCAGTTCAAGGAAGCGCCTGTTAACAAGTTTATTGAGGCCACGGACCCGATTCAGATGCTTGGTAGCTTGAACAGACTTTCCTTTGAGGAGAGGAAGGGTGGTGATCTTGCAATCGCAGCTATCTCAAAAATGCCTGAGACCACAAAGGAGATTAGGTATTGCTGTGAGGATCTACGAGTTCTTGGTAAGAAGGAATTCCGAGCGTTGCTCAGGTGGCGTCTGTCTGTGAGAGAAAAGGTATGTATCTAATAGCCTTTAAAAAATCCCGCAACTCTAATATCGCCATAGTTCGGCCTGGCAGTCAAGAAAACAAATGCAATGGTAGAATCTACGGAAATCGCCGAAATCGTTCCAATGGACAAAGAAATCCAAATAGAAGAAGAGCTTGAGCGCCTAAAAATGAAAGAGGCGGGCGAAAAGAGGCGCTCACGGCGAAGAGAGAACGAGAGGAAGCAGAAAGAAATTGTCCGTCTTCAATTACACATGACTACTCCTACAGATATCGGCTTGGGGCAAGGCGTGGAAAATGAATCTATGTTTGCTATCAAGAACATCGATAGAGCTGGTGCTTTAGATAAAATAACAAAGGGCAAAATGAGCCTTGTGATTGAGGAGGATCGTAACCGCACCAGGAAGGACACCTACATGGGTGATGCGCCGGATGATGATAGCGAGGATGAGACTGCAGATAGGCTGGAGGCTGAGTTGGACGGAATGTATGTTTCCCCTTATCTCTCACACTCTGGATAACGCACCAATATATGACAGGTATGAGCGATACAAAGAAAAGAAAGCAGAAACCGACGCAAAATTCAAGGCCAAGAGATCCCGGCAAGAGCACGAAGATGGCGAATGGGAAGGCATCAAGTCAGATGCCGAATCATCTGACGACGGAGTTGCCATTGATGACTCCGAGAGCAGCGAAGACGGTGACGACGAGGACAAAGAATTTGGGCCCAAAAAGCTTACCACACACCTTGATAGCCGCGATATTAGGGGCGAGGATGGGCTGAGTAAAAAGGCAGCAATGTTCTTCGATCAGGATATCTTTCAGGATATTGCATTCGGTGTTTCAGAAGAGGAAGAAAGTGAGGAAGAAGGTGAAGGCGAAGAAGTTGGTGATGACACCGAAATGGAAGATTATTCCATCGAAAATTCCACCAATGTACTGCATGGCGGCGGCGAAGCGGGGATGGGCGATGGCTCTGGGACCGAAGAAGAGGGAGACGCAGAAACCGGCATCGAGATTGTCAAAGCCCAAAAAGACGACAGTTGGAACGCCGAAGAAGAGCCCATGAAGAATGGGAAAATCGGTGCTTCACCCTTCCCTGCACCTTTGCATACACCTAACTAACACCCACTCACCCCAGACATCGAGATAATAACTGCCGAGGCAATGTCCCTCGCCCAGCGCCTTGCGACGGGCAAGTCTTCCGCTGAAGCCAACATAATTGATGACGGCTTTAACAAATACTCCTTCCGCGACCGCGATGGCCTACCGGACTGGTTCCTGGACGACGAGAATAAGCACTCGAAGCCCAACCGGCCCATCACGGCGGCCGGGGCCGCCGCCATAAAGGAGAAACTCCGCGCGCTCAACGCCCGGCCCATCAAGAAAGTCCGGGAAGCGAAGGACCGGAAGAAGTTTAAGGCTGCACAGCGACTTGAGAAGCTGCGGAAGAAGAGCGCGCTCATGGCGGATGAGGAGGGTATGACGGAGAAGGAGAAGGCGGCGAATATTACGAAGTTGATGGCTAAGGCGGGGAAGAAGAAGCTCAAGGCAAAGGTTAAGGTTGTGGTTGCGCGCGGCCCGAACAAAGGGCAGGGGAGGCCCAGGGGCGTCAAAGGGCGGTATAAAATTGTTGATGCCAGGTTGAAGAAGGATGTTAAGGCGCAGAAAAGGGTTGCCAAGAGGGATAAGAAGAGGTAATCTATGGTTTAACGGGCTGGTTGATATGTGGATAGGGCGAATTGAATTGCATAGGAGGGTTAAAAGTTTGCTGACTTCCTTCTTTTTGTCATCATTATGTATACGAGTACTGGAACAACCTATCTCAAAAATTCGATCTTATCGTCTACGGATCTAATCCACTCTACGGATCTAATCTCCAACAACCGGCGATCTAATCTCCTATAGTGTACTAAAAAACCTCTTGATTGTTCAACAACACTTCTTCAAAACTAAAGTTCTTCAAATTCTCCAAGATTACTACAGAGACGGTAGACCCGAGGGGGATGCTAGTAGTACAGTACTGTACATTGTAATTAGTCTTATGTCGTGGGTACCATATGCCAGTTGTTGCGCGTGGAATGTAAATATCCTTGAAATTCATTCGTTATTAGTGCGATATTTTACTTGAGCTCATTAAAAATCCATTACGAACAATCCATTGTCAAAGCAAATAAGGAATAGTAGTAGCTAAAGATCTAAAAATCGTAGAGCCTAAATAAAAGAGGAGAAAGAAGTGGAGGATAAAGACTCGAACAGTAAATAAAGATCCCTGTATTTCAAACATACTCTATCCCCCACTGAAAAGCAAATACCGTAAGAACAATTGGTACCCGCGCTAGGACGTTCGGGTCGCCGGTGGGATCCAGCACTTGGCCCTTCCCTCAGCGGGGTTAGGGAGTTATTTGCGCAGCGCCTTTGCCCACTATCTGAGATAGGGAGTTTTGGACGTCTTAGCGCAAGTACCAATTATCGAGTTATATATATAGTATGCAACCTCAAGCAAGCAATCCTAATCCAACAATCAACAATCACTTCAGTTCCAAACCTGCAGCACCATCATCCTTCCTAGCCCTCAATCGTGGATCTTTCAATTCTTTAAAGTCGAGACCGCAATCCACCAGCATGGTAGAATGTAACCGCGTGATCTCAATGCAATCGCCGTAAACGTTACTATCCTGATCGATGGCGTGAAGCTGACGCTCGAATATATCCATGTACTCGTCTGCACGCTCTTTAGCCCAACGGACAAGGGCACTTGCAAGGCGATATTCGAAACAGCTATTGTATATTTCAACAGTGTTCTTGATGAGGGTGAACTGTACAAGAGCAACTTGGGAGATGTAGAGAGGCACGTCACCCTCAAATCTAACTTGTCTATACATAATAATTAAATTAGTGTCCTTTATGGAATGTGCCTTTCTAATTTGGTGTGGTTCTTACCTAGTCCGTTTCTTGATGACATCCGACTTAGCTTCTAGGAAAGCCTCCCGCGCACGATCCTCAAAATCAAGTCTGACAAGCCATTGGACATTCGCTTTGACCGCACTCTTCTTAGCTGGGTTTTCTGTCAGGTCTGCTGTGATTATTGTAGCGAGTCGTGACGCTCTCTCGTCAACTTTGAAGTTGATCAGCTCTGCTACTAGAGCATTGTTGCTCGTGAGCGCCCGACCGAGACCTCGGAGTTTTTCCACACCGACAACAGCCTCCTCGAACTGGCGGTGCGCAATCTTCTCATCCAACTCATCCATTTGCGCTTCCACCCATCTCAGGTTACGGGTCTGCCCCTCAACAGTAAATAGTGCACTAGTCGAACCATGCGCGCTAAGACTATTTAATAGGCCCCCGTTCTCGAGAAGTCTAGGGTCACGACCTGCTAGGAAAGTCATGCTGTCTCTTCTGCGCAGGTTGTCCTCGCTTTTAGCCCTGAGTGCTTTCCGGAGCTCGTCTGCAGATTTTTTGAACTGGCGGAGGAGCTCACTCTTCTTGGAGAGATCTTCGTTTTGATAAACAAATGATTCTTTCCCTACTCTCAAGTTCACAGCATTCAACACTTGAGCTCTCTTTGCGTTTTGGGAGTCGTTCGGAGATAAGTCCACCATTTCGATTTCAGCAAGAGGCCAGCATCTCTCGGCTACATTTTTGATCTGAGGAGAGCTGGAGCTTCCGTTATCTGTTCGCTTCTTCTTCACGGTAGCAACAAGAAGATGGTCGTTCAAGAGCACTATGTGTACAATTCGTCGAGGCTTCCAAGTGGCAGCGTTTAACTCAACCCAGTGCCGGGATTCCAAGATGATATGCCTCCCGGGAACTGATGGGAGGAACTTTTGTGCCCCTTCAACTTGTTTCCACAAAGCTTGAAGATGGCTCATATGTAAGGCAGTGAGATCAGCCACACTACTCCTATTCGCTGCCTTTCTAGCTTTGAGATCACTTGTGGTACTTGAATTCTCGGAGTCCGTTTTGAGCGAACTAGTGGTGTTGTGTAGATCGTTTAGTAGGTTCCGCAGAACACGCATCTCACTCTTGAGCTTATCAATTTCTTTTGAGATAAGGATAAACTGTGTTCGGTTCACGAACACATTTTTCTGTAAATCGGAAGAGGTACGGTTACGGATGTCCTTGAGGCGGCGTTGGTAGTCTCGGATTTCCTCATCTGAAGCATTGGCCAAGACCGTGGCGACAACTAGTGAAAGTAATTATAAGCGGTTTGACCGGATCATGCGATAGGGGTGGGAGCCGTACATGCATCTGGATTAAAGTTTGGATCACGAAAGGTATCCAAGTCAAGATTCACCCCATCAGATCGTTCAGGTTGCTTCACAGGGAGTCGTGCACCAGCCCCAGCTGCAATCATGTTTGGTCCCGATGGCAAGTTTGGCATGGCTGGGATATTAGCACCCGGTTCACTAGGCATCGGAAACCGTGTAGACATTCGTCGTTTGACAAGATCTGCAACCTTGAAGGAGTTAGTTAGCTCGACATAGCTTGTGAGGTCGCGCGGAAGCTAACTAACCATTTGTTTGTCTCTAACACGAACCTGCGGAGGCCCTGAAGCTGGTCCAAGCTTCGCACCCGGCATTGGGGGCATGGGGACCTGTCTGCGCATCCACATATCGTTAACTTCAAGGAGCTTCAGAGAATATACTGTATTTAGAAGTTGGGTACCGTGGTGGACCGATGACTGGCTTCGCCGAGCGTTTGCCTTCGCTCCGCTTCTTTCGAAGGGACAGGCCTTTAGATCGATCTTTATCCATTCTGTAATATTGTTGGTGATTCGTGACTCTGGTTGTGGTTGTAATAGGAGTGGAGGGAAGGGGCAGGGGGAGATAATTGTTGGGTTTCCAGACTACCGTAGTCTAACTTATGGTCCAAACTGCTGGTATTTACAGCAGAACAATGACACTCCCGGGACAAGATTCTGGGGTTTTCTAAGTTGAGGAGGAATTAGAATGAGATCTCGCGCAGATATAAACATGAACCTGTCTGAAGTTCTGATCATTAATTTACTTCCTCCTGTCTCTTTCTCGCTTTTGTTGTTTCCTCCCTTTAGACTATAATCAACTCGGTTAGCCTACTTGTAAAATAGCGTCACGTTACCTATCGTGTTCCATTGGCCGGGTAACTAAAAGTTGCTGAATATGATACCATCCACAAATCGAAGCTTCAACCTCTTTCATCTCGTTTGCCCAATATATACCCTTCATGGAGTCTCCTTTGCCTCCCCTCTCTTCCGTGGTGGGTCCATATATTCTTCAGGATCTCGTTGATGACCTCCCATTGGGTACCCCGGAAAATCCCAACGTCGAGATTACTTGTTTGGAGTTTTGGGAAGGGAATCTCTATGTCGGAACATCAACTCATGAGCTATTACATTTTGTCTCTATACCGGCCACTCCAACCCCCAGCGCTTCTGTAGAACCTCCGAAACCAATATACATGCTCGCTTCTCGACCCCAGCCACCTCCAACTCCAGCTGCAACTGTTACCTCACCTTATATAAAGAAGATTCTTGTTCTCCCCACTACTTCCACAGCTCTTGTATTATCTTCCGCGGGCTTTCTCTCTTTCTACACCTTACCTGAATTTTCACCAGTTTCCGGTGCCCCAAAACTAAGGGATGTTGCCTTTATTGGAGGGCAGGATTTGAATGAAGTTGAGGAGGAGAGAGTAGCTGCTTCTGAGGGGAGACAGACAAATATGGGCAGGGGGAAGTTGATCGTGGTTCTCGCTAAGGGCAAGTTGCGGATGATTCGGATAGGGGAGGCTGCAAGACTGGTCAAGGATATCGAGCTCAAAGCTCGCGCTATTGAGGCTGTCAGAAGAGATATGATTGCCTGCATTTCTACGGCCGAGAATTATGCCTTGGTGGACGTCGATAATATCCGTCAAATTCCACTATTTCCTATATCCTCCATTCCCACAAGTGGCCCTTCCAGCCCAACCGAATCAGGGTCGAATACCTCACAATTCCTTTCGCAGAGTTTGGGGTCCCATGCCAGGACAACATCGGGGTCATACCCCCCTCGGACATCATCTCTCACCCCAAGGGAGCGAAGAAATAGCTCTGCTACTGCTTCCAAGGAATCTAGTGCAACAGTTCATAATAGATCTAGTAGTACCAGTAGCGTCCGTGGGCAGATAAGCAGACAAAGTTCACACGGAAAAATTCCAACTGCTCGGGGTGGTAAGTCAACACCAAAACCGACTCACCTATCACCTCCATCTCCAACTCCCTCTCGGCCTCTTTCGCCATCTGCAGGTTTGCAGCCGCCATCTCCAACCGCCCGTTCTGAGACTGGCCTTGAGGTCCTTTCAATTAGCAGCAAGGCTCCTTCCGCCGTCTCCTCAGCTATTCCAAGCCCAGGTCCAATTTCCCCTACAAAAACGACACCAACAGAATCCAAATTCCCAGCTAAGACTAAAACTATGATTCCGAAAGGGCCTTTGATACCACATGTAGCCTCTCCTAGTCCCTCTGAGTTTCTTTTAACAACCGGCACTACATGGGAAGATCCCGGAGTGGGGCTGTTCGTGAATATGGAAGGGGATGTCACGAGGGGTACCATAAGTTTTGAGAAATATCCCGATGATGTGTTGGTGCAGGGCCCTTGGGTGATTGCTGTCATAGCTAATCGGGCAATCGAAGTGCAAAGGTGGAACATGGGTGGTGGTGAAAATGACGGAGGTGAAGAAAAGGGCTTGTTGGAGATGGGTGATAATGGATTCAAACTCGGCCTGAGTGAAGTAATTGGATTACCGGGGAGGGTAATAGGCGCAGCTATGACAATGTTAAGGCTTGAAACGCTTCATTTACGACCCGGTCCCCATCCAGGGAATAACGGGTCCCCTGAGTTAAGTCGGCGGAACAACGAAGAAAGGATAATTGCAGAGAGAATTTCGACTGTTGAGAGCAGTGTTGTTGCTTTCAAAGGTAAAAGAATATGCGCTTTGGTGGAAAGCCCTCTGGTGCTGCGGCTGGATTCATTGTTACCAACTTTCAAGGGTGGGACACCCAAAACCAGAGTTCGAGACATTCTGAAGACTTTCCGCAAAATGGATGCCATCGAACCAACCACTGAACGAGATCCCCACGAGGTTTCCTATATCCGTCAGAAATGCGGCATACTTCTACTAGGTGAACTACTCAGATTAGAGACACTCAAAAGAACCGATATCCAGCCGGACGAAATCACATTATCCGAGGAAGCGCTTATAGAGAGTGCTGTAGACCCCCGAGTTGTGCTAGCCATATTTGGAGGTGGCTTCGTTGGGGACATTGTATTAGGCAAAGGGGGGGTATGGGTTTATGGGGGTATCAAGCTTGTCTTCGATGAAATATGCGCTCAGCGTGCAGAGCGGCAAGAGGGTTATCAACGAGATATACTACTACTCCTGAAAAGATACCTAGCTATCTGGAGGCGGAAGAAAGGATTCGGTAGTATTGCCGACGAAAAGGAGGTATTTGCCACGGTTGACGTTGCCTTGATCCGTGTTTTGTTGATGCTCGATTCTCCCGAGTATTTACCGCAGAAGGGATTCACTATGGTATCTGAGGGAAACGCACGAGGCGAGTTGTATGCATTGGTTGATCAAGACGTGGATGAATTCGAGGCTATATCAAACCTTCTTAGGAGCTTTGGCCGGCTTTATGTCTTGAGCATCCTACTTCAGAACAGGAAGATGTACCGAGAGGTATTGGTCACGTGGAAGAGAATTCTAGAAGAAGGAGACACAACAGGAGAGTTTGAGGATGGGGAGGAAAAAGTGAGGAATTACCTTTTAAAGTTGAAAGATAAGTCACTTGTCGAGGAGTTTGGTAAATGGCTTGCAACAAGGAATCCCAAATTAGGAACTCAGGTCTTCTCGGACGATAAAGCAAAAGCAAAATTCGAGCCAGAAAAGGTTTTAGAGATCTTAAAAGAGCATGCGCCGGCAGCAGTACGGATTTATGTTAGCCAGTTAGTCGAAAAAGGAAACACAAAGTACGCGAACGACTTAATACTTCTATACCTTGACGATTTAGTAAAGGTCCTCGGGGAGCTCCCCTCTGCATCTGAACGACTCAGGGACTCTTACGAGTCCTACCGAGCACTTACTTCACCAAAGCCAACGTACGGAGAATTCATTGCGGACAATTCACCACCACTAGTAGGAACAGACGGAGCAGGAGGCACATCAGAGACAAACTGGTGGCGCGATCGCCTGCGCTTTTTAGAACTTCTCGGCGGTGAAAGCCCTTACGACGTCCCGAAGATTTTCGGCAGCCTAGTTAAATTTCGCGAAGTTTTGATTCCAGAGATGGTCATACTCTACGGGAAAGAAGGACGCCACGAGGATGCTATCCGACTCCTAACTCACGGGCTCAAAGACTTCGATACCGCAATAAACTATTGTCTCTTCGGGGGGCTATCTATATTCCAGACACGGAAAATCATCACAAACCGCGACGAACAGGAAACGCTCTTTGCAGTACTTCTTGGCGAATTTCTCAAGTTAGAAGATTACCAAGAGTGCATGGAGCAGACAAGAAATCTACTAGAGCGGTTTGGTGGCTGGGTTGACGTAACCCACGTTCTTCAAGTTGTACCCGACAATTGGAGTGTGGAAATGTTAAGTGGATTTCTGATGAGTGCTTTAAGAGGACTGGTTAAAGAAAAAGCAGAGGTCAGCGTCATGAAGAGTTTGCGGAGAAGTGAGGTTTTCAAGGTGGAGGCAGACTATGTTGCGCGATGTGACAATATTGGACCTACTATTGAACGGTGATTCCTGTGCTTTCTTTTCTCTCCCTATCGCCTTCTCACCCCCGTTTCTCCCCCTCTTTTCTTTTCCTTTCTCGCTAGCTAGTGCTTTGAGGTGGTATTTTAGTCTGTTACAGTACTGGTACCGGTATCTCCTACTTTCTGCTTTGTAGAATTAGGTAGTCTTACAAGAGGGAATATTGGCGCAGATAATTGGGATAGCAAAGATGGTTCCGATAATGGCATAATAGTAATTTTCTTGAAGGGATACTCACGGAAGGGATCTCCACAATTATCAGATTTTTTGGAAAACTCACGTCCACTCTTTTGCGGATTTCCCGGCGGGCGTTCAGCGGTGGAAACGCCATGTGCCCCACAAGTTAAAGCACAACGAAACCACAAGGGAAGAAACTATCAGCAATCTAAAGGACATACAGGTATCATACTCTATATTATCAGATAACCCTCAAGCTTTTAGACGAGATCTCGAAAAAGAAAAATCTGTCAAAATAATCTCGGCTCTTTCCCCTACACCCCTCACTACCTTCAGCGCAAGAGGTGAGTAGGCCTAATTGACATTATAACTGGTGGTATTGAATTATTAGAAGTTTTTGGATACCATTATGATGCTCATGAGGAAACCGAACTCCTTACAGCTCTAGAAGCTAACCGGGGATAGATCACTCGTTGGAATAACGAATACCAGTAGGAGCGTGTGCCCATCACAAAATGTTCATAAAGGCTATGATAAAGTCTCCCACGAGTCGTCTCGTCTCGTCAATACGAGGGCTTGATACAGAGTTTGTTAGTCACTTTCTATCACTCGTTACACCTATCCGTGAGGTCCGCATCCATACAGCCCTTCTACGCGCTGGGCTCATCTAGTGATGGATTGTCCGGGAGAATGCGTTTTTCACGGGTGGGATTGATGCCAGGAGGAGCACTGGGCATTCCGGTGGAGCGGGGGCTCCGAGGCGGTTAATATTGTTATTATTGATATTATTGATATTATTGATGTTATCGTTGGTGTTAGTATTCATGTTTCCGCCGGCGGCTTATGGAGCTGGTGGAACTGAGGGGGCTGGTGGAGGAAGAAAAGTTCCTGGAGGGGGGGTGGGGAATAGATTGGTTCCGTCTTCTGGGAAGTTATACCCATTCAGTCGTTGCCAATTGCTCATCACAGCCAATCACTCATGGGACCATCCTACAATCCTGAAATCCGAAGCTAACCCTTACGGAGGTACAGCTCATAAGTTTTGTATGTTACACTAGAGGCTCACACAACACCCACTGGTAGTGTACGGTAATATACAAAACTTGGGGCGCGTACCTCTGTATAAAATCTCATGTTACTATCAGAACAGAAGGACACCACCAACAAGGGCCAGTATATACAAATTCCCTAGTCCAGCGCAGCCACTCCAGCCATCATTTACAAGCCACTCACTCTTGGCCGAGAAATGAAACCTTCAAGCCACTCATTGCATATGACGCACTCCAGACAACAAATGCTATTCCGACACATGCGGCACTTGGTGCTAACTCGGTTTCTTGGCAGGCTGTTCGGAAGGGTTGGTGCCCCAAGTGCACGGGATATCGCGAACAGGAAGCGGCAGAAACAGTCCCAATCCTCAGTCCTATAAGCGGAATACCAACACCATTGAAGCATGTAACAATAACTGGCGAGGAGAGCGAAGTTCTGGGGTAGTAATCTCTGAAAAGGATTGGGCAGGGGATACTATTCTCATTAAATTAGCATCAGCCACTGTTGCTACACCCACATTAAAGCAAAGCGTTACATCTCACCCGGCTGGAGCCGTGGTGATGTTCTAGGAAGAGGGGCGGAGCTACCCGGCAAAACTGGACCAGGAGCTAGTGCCGAGGCGGTTTCAAAAACGGAAGAATGATAGCTAGAACTACATTAGGCGCCGTGCCAGCATCTGGCAGCGCGGCATCAGCTCCGCCCACAACAGGGCCATGTCCTCCCACGGGCGCACCAACTTGCGCAGAGGCTAGAATGAAAGGAGCGAATGTGATCGTGATAGATCATCTGAACGGCAGTGTGCAGAAAGTAGCCCTGCTGTTGGTTCTCTTAATATCGGCGCGTGATCTGGGGTCCTGATATAACTTCCCCCCCTTTTCCGCTGGATACGGTTTATTTTACAATTGCCCATGGAGCAGACACTGCTTCTAAGGCCGACAAATGGAAGAGTTGAATTGAGGAGAATGGAGGGAAAGGGGGGGGGGTTTCAAAAAAAAAATTTCACTAGTGTTTCCAAGTGATTTCTACTGTTATGCGAGAGTGAGTGAAGGTGTGAATGTCAGTATGAGACTCCCCAAGGACGACCCCTCAAGAAGTTGGAGTGGTGATGCAAGAGTCACTTAGCAAACCATATTTTGGAGTGGCGGCATTGTTCCTAAAAGCTACAAGGTCAATAAGGGGAGTTTTCCTATCAGCGGTTCTCAGGGGTCAAAACCTGCTTCAAGATCATTGGCAGATTACTTACAAGCCGGTTGCTGCTACATATCATACCCCTCAATTCCCGCATCAACCATCATGACATCATCTTGCGAATATATTACCTAGCAAATAGAAGCCCCATTAACAATACTTGACGGCTACAGCGTTTTACAAGAATCCAATACAGTAGAATTTGGCGGAATTTGACAGATTAAATAGTATACAAACGGCTCGCACAAATACAGTACAGTAACGCCAAGATTCCCTTTATCCCACCCATCCACCCACCAATACCACACCACCTAAACGGCAAAGAAATCAAGGCGGCCAATAGCGTACCAACAGCGATGAAGGCATCGAACGAGCAGCTCCCAAGAGCATACCTATTTCGTCCTCCGCCTTGACCTCTGGGTCTGACCGGCTATCCCTGAACTCACATCAGATTTAATCAGAAACTCGTCTGTGTCAGTATCCAATTTTCCCCTAAGGACACTAAGAGCGACAATTCCAGTGGAAAAGACCGCCCATCCAGACTTTTCCAAAGTGCCGACTTCATTGTCCCCTTTCTCGCTCCCCAGAACTAGCGTCTGCTCCCCGTCCTTCTTCGCACCCCTAGGCGCTTTCTTCGCAATATTTCCGGCACCAGCGGCCTTCAGCATTTCTACCAGGCTCTCCTCCTGTTTCCCAGCCTTGAGTTGGGAGATCAGAGCCAGGGTGATGTTAACATTCCAGCCGTTAAGAACGGAGTTCCCGCCTTGTCGACCCCTTTTAACGGCAGCAGCTAAATTGAAACCCCATTCTTTCTCATGAAGCGGATCATTCGGTATATATGGGTCAGGATCTTCGTTTATTAGTATTCGATCAATGAAGATGACTAAACCAGTAGAGCAACATACCCAGAAAATAGCCGATCTCTTTGCTATCGATCAACCATTGATCCTCAACCACAGTTTTGCCCAAGGCAACACCGATTGTTAGCTTAGGCGTCCTCTTCAGCTCACCAGGGCCTACTACTAGAAAGTTGACACCTGGAGCACTGACGTTGTCCATTTTCTTAGCAGCGGCAGCGCGAAGGAATTTTTCGATATCCTGAGAAAAATGAGATAATCACATTAGCAGCATACTTTACATATTTCCATTAGCACGAGATTAAATACCTTCTTGCCATCGAGACCGCTGTTGCTAAACACAATCCTAGGGGCATCTCCCTCATATCTCTCTCGAGTCCTAACACTAATGCCCTCTCCCTCGTTCAGATCTTGCTCGGCATTTAGGCTGACCTCCTCGCTTGCGTTCCTCGAGCTGGCTCCTCGCTTTCTAAGAGGCGTTTTCTTCGGTTTTGCCGTACTCCTCTTCCCTACTGATTTGGGGGTCTTGACCTCAACTCTGTCCATAGTTTGGGTTTGGGTTTGGGTATCCGAAGGGACTGTGTACTGAGTATCGCCATATTCTTTTTGTGGAGTCTCTATCGGAGGTGAAACCACCGATAACTTTCTAGTTCTTGCTCCTTTTCTCGTAGCAGGTTGCTTGACACGCTTTGGCTTTGGCATTCCAGCCTCAGGCTCTCCGGTAATCTCCCGTGAAGATTGACCCCCGTCCGGGGTCCCTGCGCGCTCCTGATACTCCTGATGCCCCGCAACTGCCGGCAATTCATCGGGCGGAATACCGACACCCACTTCCTCGTTGGATGGCTTCTTCCGGCCTTTACGCTTTGGTGTTTTAGCAGTTGAAGCCAATTCGGTCTCCTTCTCTTTGATAGAAGGCTCCTCATCTTGCGGTTCCTGGGGCTGTTGCTGGACCTGTGGGCCTTCCTTCTGTGGGCCCTCATTCTGCGGAGGAGACTCGAGAACGGCCCCCTGAGCTTCACCTTCCGAATCCTCAGGCTGGCTATGTACGATTTTTCGGCCTCTTAGCCCTCTGCGTGCTGGGGTAGCGGCAGTCCGCTTCATAGGGGTATCTTGGAGTTCGGGCCCTACTTTCCTTCGCTTGTTTGTGTCCTTTCCGGGTGTATCTTTCTTATGCCCCTCGCCTTCGCTAGCAACAACTTCACTCGGCGACTCGAACGCTTTCCTCTTCTTTTGACGCAGAGGCGTGGACAAATTTTCCCCACTAGTATTTCCATCGGGCTGGTCCGCATGTTTTCGATCTGCAGGGCTCTTCTCCGAGGACTTCTTGGCGCTAAGAGGCGACTTCGGAAGCCTCTTCTTACTATAAGTGCGACCCGGTGTAGTAGACTTCATATGTTCTTCGTAAAGAAAGGCCTCAGGAAGAGATTCGGTTGCCTTTGCAGTATGAATACGGTGCTCCCCTTTATTTGCTCTTTCAGCTGCCTCCGGACTATTGTCCGCCGTGGGTTTTTTTGCATCAGGGACAGCTGTGGTTTCGGATGGGGGAGGCGATTGGTGACGATTCTCCCTCTCGCCATCAGGCTCCCCCGGGGACGTGAGGTTACTGGAAGTAGAGCCCATTGCTGCAAGACCCTTTTCTTTAGAAATGCCTTTTCCAAGCCCCGCAGCAATAGTGTCAGATTCCAGTGAGGCTGACTCGGGTTGCTTTCCCTTCGATCTCGGAACAAGGTATCGCGGAGCTTCATCTTCTTCCTCGGATGTGCTAAGTCCGCGATCAGCAAAAATGGGTGATTGTGAAGTCACTTCCTCGTCTGCTTTTCCGTCATCATAACCAGCGAAAATTAAGCCGGACTTTGGAAGAGCAGTCACCAATTGTTTTCCAGCAGATTGATTTCCGGGCGGTAAAGAGTCATTACCCATGCTCGCATACGATTCTTGTGCTTTTGGAGTACGACCGGAGCTCATTGGATTGAAGAATCGAGACTTCACAGGTGTTTCAGCAACAACAGTTTCGTCAGGATTAGTCTCAGGGATCACTGGCGTGGAATCTCTATAACCAATGCCATGGTGGACTGTGGTAACCACTGGATCTTGCATACTTTGTACAACCTGGACGTGAGGGTCATCGTCAATCCCCATAGAGACGTCACCTTCTTTATCAATTCGATCTACCGAGCTTGTCAGGGGGGGCCTTGTAGTAGAAATCGAAGAATCGCCTAAATCAAATTGAATCTTTTCCCCGTCGATGCACAGAAAGCAGCTGTAATCCAAAAACATAGACATACGATCTCTAGGCGGATGCGAGAGCGGAATTCGGCGTTTAATTGCGGTAGGGGACAAGGGGTCTCGGGTCATGAATAAGGCCTCCTTTGGGGAATGTATTGCCTCAATGAAAACATCAGAATCCTGGATATCTAAAAGTTCGGAATGAAAAATCAGCGGAATCTTTCGAGATAAACCAACGGGGGAAGGAGCACTACGGATAGCAGCTAAAACCGTCGGTCTATCATAACCAGAAAACCCATCGCCATCGTCCTCAGTATGGATTTGTAAACTATGATTTTCGTCCCGATAAACAAAGTAAGACCGCCGTTTCCCAGCTTCATCGCTGATCAGTGATATCCAAGAAGATGGGGAATCAGGATCGGTAAAGTTAAGTCGAATTCTCGGGGAGGGGCTCATGATCTAAGAGTCATAAGGGATAAATCTAGACCAGAGAGCTGAAGAGCGAACGTACGGTATTGACTTTGCTGCGTTGGACAAAGAAAGAAGTCGGAGGGGGAAACAAGTCTGCCGTAGGTTACTCTAGTACGGGAAACAAGAAATTCGCGACTCGCTTGGGCTTGGCAATTTTTATAGCTGTCATCCGGTACTTGTCATTCGTAAAGTATCTGGATGCCTTGGCATCCATTACCGCATATTTTGTGCAAGGCGTCCGAACACTTTACGCATTGGTAGGTACTTTAAGTTAACAGCTCGCGTCGCGTCACTCACAAGCACTTTCACATCACACGCGTGAAAATACTGCCGGCATCATGCCTGTCAGCTGTGGTCGGCCAAGACCAATTTAGGGTTACCCTACTTTCATAGGCTTACCAAACAAATCTGTCGTGTCCTCCCGGAACCGGGCTCCGTGTTCGTGACCACCTGCCACCGCCACCACCAAACCACCAAACCGATCTCTCCATCCCACAACCCACAACCCACACACTCTTTGGCGCCAGGCAGCAAATATGGCCAACTACCTTGCCTCTATCTTCGGTACAGAGCAGGACAAAGTTAACTGTGAATTTCCATCCCGTCCTTGCCTCGTTTTACCAAAATTTGCTAACAACTCTATCGCCAGGTTCGTTCTATTACAAGATTGGTGCTTGTCGCCATGGCGATCGCTGCTCGCGCAAACACGTTAAGCCTTCGTATTCCCAGACAATTTTGCTCCCAAACCTCTACCAAAACCCGGCGTTCGACCCAAAGAACAAGATGAATACCTCACAGCTACAGAACCATTTCGACGCTTTCTACGAGGACTTTTTTTGCGAAATGTGCAAGTACGGTGAGGTCGAGGAGGTTGTTGTGTGCGACAACAATAATGACCGTACGTGGTTTTCGCCCCAATATTAGGTGGTAGTGCTAACAATAGGAGGCAGATTTGATCGGCAACGTCTACGCTCGGTTCAAGTACGAAGAGGACGCTCAAACTGCCTGCGATGCTCTAAATGCAAGATGGTACGCTGCCCGTCCAATCTATTGTGAGCTATCGCCCGTCACAGATTTTAGGGAAGCTTGCTGCAGATTGAACAGTGGCGAAGGCTGTGTCAGAGGTGGATTTTGCAACTTCATCCACAGGAAGGAACCCAGCAAAGACCTAGAACGCGAGTTAGAACTGGGGATGAAGAAATGGTTGCGCGCGAGAGGCAGAGATAGGCGCAGTGTATCGCGCAGTGTTTCTCCTAATGGAGAATCCAGAAGACGCAAGGAGGCTTGAATCCTCCACTCCAAATCTCTCCTAATACCTTGATAGCCTGCTTTTGAGCTTTGTTGTTGCTAGAGCGGATATGTACTATAACTATTTTTAGGACCTTAACGTCTTCTTTCCTGTCCTGCTACCCTGGACTTGTGGCTTTCTTTTGGATCAAAGGCTTTCAATTCAAACAATAAGGCCATTCAGGATGTCCCCTTATTTCGTCTTCCACCTTTTTATAGCGTTCGGTTGTGAATGTGACGTTATACCAATAAGCTATCTTATTCATTATTCCCTTTTCAAGCCCTCCCTTCCATCATATCTAGTCTAAGAGTACCCACCCCAGTATTTGACGGAGATGCAATAACGTGTTGCTTTCTAATTAATTTTAGTGAGCGTCGAACAGGGCCCATTCAAAGCTTCTAACTCGATGTTTCGACTTTACGACTTAAATAGCTCCCAGGCCTTTGAAATAGTAAGCCATATAGTACTCCTACGTTGGGTCAAGCATCTTATTAAGCATGATACCAATATGATACACCACGGGCAAGCAGAACCCTCTGTTTCTCAACCCAATGCTGCTATAACCCTAGGCTCCAAATGGTCGAGTGGTTTTTCGAAAGTGATTTAAGACTTTTCCGATATCATACCTGACACGTACTAACCGCTCTCCACGAGCATCATCATCATCGTCCTTCCCAAATATGGGCAGATGCAATCCGGGCTCCCAACCGGTCATTATCAACTCACTCACATTACAACCATCACGACAACACGTGATCCGCCAAGCCACACCCCAACCTGCGGCACTCATCCATGAAAGCCTCCGGCTCCTCAAAATCCAACCCCAGCGCCCAGAACCCATCCAATTGACCAATCCATCACCACCATTACACAAGAGAATGTCAAAAAGACCGGCAGAAGAAACAGTGGGGGCTCTGGAGGCTCAACGGCAAAGTACGGGCCCGCAAACTCCAAAGCGTGCGCGCCTTGAGGAGGTTATTGACCAAGAGTTTGTGGAGAAAGGCTCGTCGAGGAATGGTATGATCTTGGAAGCTTCGCGGCCGAGGGCACCGGCCCCCACCACCGATATGGACGAAGATGGGGATTACGAGGACGATGTGGCGGTTGGTCAGCTCGGGGTCGGGAAAGCGCAAGAGGGACCTTCAGAGGGGTTCTCGGACCTGTATTTGGACACTATTAATCGGTATGGCGGACTCTTTTTTCTTAATGCATGTTCATACGTGAGATTTATTACTAACATTAATTTCACAGAGTTCTCTTAGATTTTGGTAAGTAATCAATTCTGAGCGCTAGGTAAGAGGTTACTAATTAAAGTAGACTTTGAAAAGCTGTGCTCAGTATCTCTCTCCAACATCAACGTCTATGCTTGTTTAGTTTGCGGGAAATATTTTCAAGGTCGCGGTCGTTCGTCACACGCCTATACACATTCCTTGGACCAGGACCATCACGTTTTCATCAATATTGCCAGTTTGAAAGTATATGTTTTACCCGAGAGCTACGAGGTCCAGAATAAGACGTTAGAGGACATCAAGTATGTTGTAAACCCAACATATACCAAGGTGGACGTAACGAAGCTCGACAAGGAACCATTGGTGCGGTGGGATCTAGGAGGGAAGAAGTATATTCCCGGTTAGTTCAAGTCTGTCTTATTTGCGATGCACTGGTGAGCTGACTTTAATCTCCATCATAGGTTTTGTGGGTTTGAATAACATCAAACAGAATGATTACATGAACGTTGTAGTGCATGCTCTTGCACATGTAGCTCCTCTTAAGAACTATTTCATGCTAGAGGATTTATCGTCAAGGCCCGAACTAGGTATGTTGCTCTCGCCTCAACTTGCGCTCAGTATGCTAACAACCAACCCCGAGCCCAACGATTCTCCATCTTGGTCAGAAAGATCTGGAACCCCCGCGCTTTCAAATCCCATGTTTCCCCCCACGAGCTTCTTCAGGAAATTTCTCTCCGTTCTTCCAAAAGATTCACCCTAACCATCCAATCTGACCCAGTGGACTTTCTCTCTTGGTTCATAAATAATCTTCACCTTTCACTCGGTGGCTCGAAAACGAAGCCCGGGACTAGTATTATACAAAAGGTTTTCCAAGGAAGGCTAAAAGTCGAATCACAGACCATTACTGCTAGAGCGGATGCCTCCGATCGATTACGATTTGAGGAGGCGGCTGAGATTAAGATGGATATTGTAAGGTTTATGATGCTAACATTGGATCTACCGCCAAAGCCGATCTTCAAGGATGAGCAGGACAAGAATATCATTCCTCAGGTCTGATTACATACTCGCTATTGGGGTCATATTTGTCTGGCCTTCGATCATCCTGCTGACCCGACGACGTAACTCTAGGTCCCCTTAACAACCATCCTGTCAAAGTACGACGGCCTACACTCCCAGGAGCTCCTCGGACAGCGTAAACGCTACCGCCTCCTCTCCCCCCTCCCCCCATTCTTAATATTCCACATCAAACGTTTTAGCAAGAATAAATTTGTAGAAGAGCGCAATCCTACTATCGTCACATTCCCCACAAGATCACTAGACATGTCACCCTACGTCGAACCTTCAGAGGGCGGTTCCTCGACAGAGCCAATCTGGTACGATCTAGTCGCCAACATCACACATGAGAGTGTCACCACAACATCAGGGAAGAAAGAGGGCGATATCAGGAGTGTCTATAAGGTGCAGTTGGTGAATAAGGCTAGCGGAGAGTGGTTCCAGATTCAAGACTTGTTTGTAGAAGAGGTTGCTAGAGAGCTGTTGTTTACGAGTGAGTCGTATGTTCAGATTTGGCAGCTAAGGAAGGAGCCGAAGGGGAAGGGGACGGAAATTTAGTAGCTTGGTGAATACGCTTGGTGGTTTGTTAAGAGCTCTTTGGGAAATGTTCATCGCCCCTGGCGGTGAAAGCTGTTCGTCGAACAATAGTTATAACCTACTGTATCGTATGGAGTCGAGTTGAAGCTATGGCGTCCACGGCGCAGTACGCCCGGGGGTAGGTCAAACTATGACCGTGCGAAGGTATAAAACTCACAGTAGCGGTGTAGAAGACAGTACTGTATGAACACATACAAATATCTGATATCACCGAGCCCAGACTACCGAAATACAGTTCCCAATGCTTGTGCAGTGCATCGCCAATGAACAACTAAACAAGCGTCCGCTCACACTCAATAACACATTCTCCCACCTTATGTTCAAGTTTATCAGGACCGCTCAAGCGGATAGGAGGGGTACTTCGCCCGAGACAAAGAGAATCTCCACACACATTGTCCCTACTCTCCAACTATGAGTATGATACTCGACATCAAATCCTATGCTACAAGCAAAGCACGGCTTGTTTTCCCGTTTAGGCTAGAGCTATCGCTACAAGTACGAGTACGGTAGAGTAACGGTACGAGTAAATTACTGTAACGCCCACCACCGGTAGACTAAATTTACCATACAAATACCAAGCTTCGCTTATCTAATCTTATCTTATCCAAGTTAAGGATAGTGCTTTTGTGACTATTCCGCTACCCTAACATGAATAAAACGCCAAGGCCACACAAAAAGCGAAATTCCACCCTCAACTTTACAAAAGTCCCACCCCACTAACAACCATCTAGTTCTCGGCACTCACGACCAACTCAATCCCCACCCCTCACCGACTTTCCACAACCTCCCCTTTCTAACAAAACCCAATAAAAATACCATGGCTGAAGCCCCTGCTGGAGGTGCTCGCGGCGGTGCCGGAGGATTCGGAGCTCGCGGAGGAGACCGTGGACGTGGTCGTGGACGTCGTGGTCCCCGTCGTGGAGCTAAGAGCGAGGAGAAGGAATGGCAACCAGTTACCAAGCTTGGACGCCTTGTAAAGCTTGGAAAGATAAAGAGCATGGAGGAGATCTACCTCCACTCTTTGCCAATCAAGGAGTACCAGATTGTGGACTTTTTCTTGCCCAAGCTGAAGGATGAGGTTATGAAGGTAGTACCAATTAAGATCGCGATATAGCATACAAATTCGCACGGTTGGGAACTAATGAGTTTGGTTTGGGGAAAAAATAGATTAAACCTGTCCAGAAGCAAACCCGTGCCGGTCAGCGTACCCGCTTCAAGGCTATCGTTGTTATCGGCGACAGCGAAGGGCATGTTGGTCTCGGAATCAAGACCTCCAAGGAAGTCGCTACTGCTATCCGCGCCGCTATCATCATTGCAAAGCTTTCTGTTCTCCCCATCCGTCGCGGGTACTGGGGTACCTCCCTCGGAGAGCCACACTCTCTTGCCGCTAAGGAGTCTGGAAAGTGCGGTTCAGTTACCGTCAGAGTATACTTCCCCCTACACCATGTCTAGTTGTACAAGCGTCTCACAGAAAATAATAATAGCTGATTCCTGCTCCCCGTGGAACCGGTCTTGTCGCCTCTCCCGCCGTCAAGCGTCTTCTCCAGCTCGCCGGTGTCCAGGATGTCTACACAGCCTCCTCAGGATCTACCAAGACACTCGAGAACACCCTCAAGGCTACCTTTACTGCCGTTGGGAACACTTACGCTTTCTTGACACCCAACCTCTGGAAGGAGACAAAACTGCTGAGGAGCCCCCTAGAGGAGTTCGGTGACCAGTTGAAGAGCAAGGAGAGGTATTAAATGTTTTTCAAAATGGGAATGGGGAGTTTCGATTCTTTGTCATTGTAGGGTTGGGGATATTCAAAAAAAAATCCAAACCACCCGCCGTTTTCCCTCTTCCTTATTCCTTTTCTCTTTTACTGTGGGACCATGGTGTAAATGTCAAACAAAAATATCGCTAATACCGGAAACTTGTCGCATTTGATGTGACCACTTTGACCTAACCGTGCCTACATACTTCCACCCGTCACCGAAGTAATAATGGGCCAACTTATATCGCAGAGAAAGCTGCCACCTATTACAGACTATCACACTCCTGCCCCGTCCCAAGGAGGCATACCCTTTTCATCTGTGCAGGCCGTTCCTAAAACCCAGGTGCGATATCATCATGTAAACAAAAAAAAACCCCCAGTTCCTGATCGGAGGCCTCCACTAAACGTCAAGTCCAAACCCTCGGATTACAATGCTCGAGTACCGTACACCGATTGGGATTTGGTTTTGGGGATACGCATGGCAGAGACGGGGAAATGCTTGCGGACGGTTAAACGAAAAGGAGCTACAGGAAATTCGGTGAGAGCGACTTTATGGTCCTTCTTTATTCTCCTCCACCCGGGGTGTGGTGGAAGATATGGTGGTCAAGTTGTTTTGATGATCGACCCAGGAACAATCCGCCTTCTTCCAACCCCGAATTCAACAAACAAATACATATTTTTTTCTTTTTTATGATGCTTAAACATTCTGAGGTTAAATTTGGCCCACAAAATTTATAAAAATGGGGATTTGTTCCGCAGGGTTGTTCTGATGATACGAGTGATACCGGTACTTGTAGTCTACAAGTATCATAGCACTGCCCGAATAAAGTAATACCCTGGTACACTCGGGGGTCTGTAGTCTGTCGATCCAGTAGCCGGAGTTCATACTACAGGTGGGCAAGTGAGCGGCTACACCCTCTAAATTGAGGCCAGCGTCTAATGTATACTTAGTATAATACTTGCACTCGAGTACTTATACAGTACTGTACAGTACAGTGCTACCCCGCCTTTATCGGGAGTTCACCCCTCCATCTCCGGTTCCATCTCCATCTTTCTGGCTATGCTTAGCGCCAGTTCTGTTTAAACAGTGAAACCCATCTCACCTCCCATCATTCTTACTCGGGGAACACTTGAATCAGAGCCCCCTAGCCAATACTCACTCAACCGCAGTGGTAACCTTCCCAATACCACAAAATCGAACAGCACTACCATGGGCAATTAATTACCCCGCTACCAGCGATGTTGAGCAATCGCGGATCCCATCCCAGATATCAGCTCTGAAGCCACGGAAGATGTACGATAATGTGGCCGGTACTCCTGCCGAAGGTCCAGGGGCGTGGGTACTGAAAATCAGCGAGTTTCAAACATGGCATGCCGATAGAAGTAATGCCGTCCCATTTTGTCATGGGGCCTCGAAAGCGGGAGATGCTTTCGTCAAGTAGGATTCGTAACCCCGCATGCACTCAGTTCACCGCTCACGTTATCCCAGCCCCTTGGTTATCGATCCGCTACGCGAAGGGATTGCTAATCAGAATGTTGACGCCGTTTGCCTATACTGTGATTACCGTGGGCAGAAAGAGCAAACGCCAGCTGTTATAATAATCGGGAATCCTGGTGACCCTCCAGGCGTTTGGCAATCAGCCTGTTGTTGCCTTTCCCTCCAGCGGCTATGGCAGGCAGAGAGAAGAAACACCAGCCGCTACAGCCGGGGGGCTCTCCAGGCATCCTGTAACAGGGTTGCCGGAGATTCCGGAAGCGATCACCAAAACCTTCCGAGCCGCCGGTGGCTCTCTCGGAGGGCGCGCACCTGGACTTCCGAATATTCAGAATCCGGACACGATTCTAGCAAGTCTACATTTGTATTGGTCCACTGGATGAGCTTCTGGCGGAGCACAGAGTCGGGTTTCTACGCTCCCTGCGCCAGATCTTGGATAAATCATCCAATACGAGACTGTCTCTCACCAGGAGGCCTCACATCCGATAGTCCTAAGTAGAGATCATGACAAAAATCCCAAAAAAAGGTTTTTCTGAATGTAAGGATGGCGCGGGTGATGTCACTGCGGTTGTGTAGCTAACCATGTCCTACATCTTCCCTCCAGCTCCATTACAGATCGATTCAATATTAGGAGAGGCGACTATAGGCGGAAGAAGAGAAAAGCTTCATGAGATGACAAATGAGCCCGAGCGATGTCTATACAGCAACTCTAGAAAGAATAAAGCGGCAGAGAGGGTCCAAAGCGAGGTTGCATATTGCAGCCTTGGCATGGGTTTTCTCGACAGAGCAGCCTTTGCTCGTTGATGAGTTATATCATGTTTTGGTAGTGGAAGTTAGAGCTTCGAGTATTGATACTACATTTGCTCCTCCGATAGGGACTATTGTAGAATCCTGTTTACAGGACTAGCCGCGATTGATCACGCAACATCAAAAGTCCGCCTAGCATATGACTTTAGGAACACCCCCGTAGCGCTGTAGGCATTATAAAAATAGGTTCGAGAGCCCCGTGCCACGACTCCCGTAGTTTCCTCAAGTTATCTAGGCATTTAATCAGTTCTCCCAGAGTTACCACCAGCTCCTAGAACTGCTCCATCAGACACCCCCCCTTGTAACCGGCCGTATGGCATTCACCTTCAAACATGTCTTTTGCGAAACAAAGGGATCCATGGCACATAAACAACTCGAAGAGGTTTAACAGATTACACTACCCTGCATGCTAGCCCCATTACATAGATGGACTTTCTTCTTGAAGAAGTTTCTCGCATTGGACGGTTTTACCTGAGCCAAACGCATACCACTCATTTTGCCCACTGTAAAAGGCACGGGCGGGGAGGAGTGGTAGTAGGTAGCATTGGACAGTATGATACCCCGGTATCGAGCCGATGCCAATCCAGACTAAACCCCTAGGACACCCACCCCACGGTGGGCACGAAAGAGCGGCAGATACACATACTACAGGCCAACGCTACCCATTCTATGTATATACTACACCCTCTTTGTCGGACTCTACTTCCCTAACTCAGGCCCAGCCAGGATGATATCCATGCTCCAAAAACTGAATTGGCACCCACGATCTCCCTCACTCCCTCCCTCTTGGTTGTATTTAGGTTGATGATTGCACGAGCAAACTAACCCACACACTATCCACCAATAACATTTCTGCATCATAACAAATCATTCGGCCAAACTAAGCTGCGTACAGTACAGCAAAGGCGACCTGGGGGCCGGAGGCAATGCTCCCCCCCCTATGTTGCACACTTTTATTCAATGTACGGTGCCGTCCAAACCCGGTCTTACCCCCGAACAAAACCCACCCTTCTTGTCATTGGCATTCAGCCAGTGATTATTCCCATAAAAAGGCGAGGGGGCTATTATTGAACAATCCATTCATCGGGCTCCGCAATCCTGCCCTGGGTAACTAGGACGCTGAAGAGCTTAGTCTTGCAAGGGGAACGGCTGTAGCGCAAATCGATCGGGCCCACTACCAAGTGGCACGACCCGACCCCACTATGGACCATATTACATACCCCCCAACCACAGGCATAATGTCTGCCATCAGCGGAGCAGGGGAGGGAAAGAAGGGGAAAAAAAGGAAAAGACAAGAACTATTCCCCCTCCTTCAACTTGCAACCGCAAGCCAAGGATTTCACGTAGCCTTGGAAAAGCAACCGTGCTCTCCCAGAGAATGCCGGGTGCAGATATCTACCACTGCCGCAGCGGGGAGTGACGAATATTCACACCCGTTTCCTCCAAAGACAATTGCTCCGGATACAGATCAATGTGACGCAAGCAACGCACGGCTTACAAAATTCCTCCTCCATTTTCTCTTATTAGTTGATAACATTATCATAATATATCAGCTCATGCAGAGGAGCAGGCTGGACCGCCCACTGGTTCGCCTTCCCCCCCCCCCCGGTAAGCCAACGACCGGGAAGGACTTGAGATAAAGTTTGTACTCTATTCCCAGCGTGGAAATAGCCAAGAACCTTTTAAACATCCACTGCTCTTGCTTGTTATGTGTACAAACACACCCCGAATTCTGTGTTGAGGTTCTTCTTATCTTGCCCGGCAGTCCTCCCCGGACCGACTTGGGTCGAGTGAGGGGTCCTGAATATTCCAAGAAGAGTCGTAACTTTTGCGGTCAGGTGCCAGCTATTCTAGGGTCCTTGAAAGCCGTATTTTCTGTGATTCATAGCTTCCGTGTCTCTCAACACACAACAACCACACATCACCCCGCAAAACCACTACGCTACCTAGCGAGCAAGTCACCATGATACACACCACAAATAATCCATCAGAAGCACAACACAACACAGCAATTGCAAAATACCTAATTAAGGTTTCATTCGCTCTCAAACTCGACAACTACTCTACATCGCATCCCTCAGCAAATCTGGAATAGAACTACAAACAACACATGGAAAACGCAACAAAAGCAAGAAAAAAAATCACAACACTGATGTGTAATATTAACCCCCACCAGACCGCTAGTAGCTAAACCAATCAGTTTGCCAAGCCGTTACAATTAGTCGTGGTTCGTTTATCCTCTATTGATCTGCGGCCTCCTCGAGTAGTAACTTGAAGCTAAACGGTTCGAAAGCGATGCCATCTCCGATAAAGAATTTGCTCTAGTGTGGACGTTAGTGCCGCTATACACAACGCAACAGAACGGGGTGAATAGAAGAAAGGCAAGGGGGAATCACCATAGCCTCAACCCATTGCAAACGCAAACTGTGCAACATGGCGCTAGTTCCCTCCATAATTACCAGCACCGCAAGGGTACAATTTAGCCAGAAAGAGAATAGAATAACCATCATGATCACTCCAATAGTCCCCTCAAACCCAAACCCAACAGCCATCGTCATGTCCCAGAGCACGATCGACAACTGAGCGTGTGCTAGCGACAAAGCCCATAGACGGAGGTATGAGGCTGTGTGCGAGATACAATTGAGGCAGAATTCGATAGTGTGGATGACCTGGTGGATCATCACTTCGCTAAACTCGAATTCCTCTTCTTCCTTCATCTCCTCGGCAATAAGGATGTGGCCCTCACCATCGCTTTCGACACTATCACGACCGCGAGGAGTTTCGTCTTCATCGTCGCCGTCGAGAGCACTGACTCTGGAGACTTGGCCCAGCCCTTGGTAACCGGCTGCATGGTGCTTGTTGTGCTCCCATCGGAGGTAGAGAGGCTTGAGAAGCAACATCCAGGGCACACAGGCCAATGCGACCAACAGCAAAAGAACTTGAATGGTTGCCTGGCCAGGGTAAAGAGGCTCTGTGACTGTCCCAGGGGAGAGGAACATGTAGATGAGAAGATTCAATATGCTGGGAGGATTCTTATCAAGGGCAACCCAATCAACGGACCATTTGTAGACAATAGTAAGCACTAAATAACCGAAGATCGACTGGAAGAAGATCATGCCCGGGATAAAGTTACCCCATGTATCAATCCTGGACTTAAAGTATCGGTGATTGTATTGCGAGAGGCAAAGAGAATATGTCATCTGTATAGCGTTAGTCTCCGCAGCCCCCGTAAAAAATAAAACATGAAACTCACGTGAAACCATCCCATGATGATGCTTAGCTTCATCTTAAGACTGTTTGTAAACAGTAAACTATTCTCCGCTCCATGCCACTGCCAATCCAAACCGAAAGGATATGTGTAACCAGGCACCTTTTGTGCCTCAATACCCTCCCCGATCTTGAAGTGCTCGGGGTATACCCACTGACTCTTGAACAAGGTGAGCGGCTTGGAGAAGACATCGTTATAGATGAGACCAGTGTAAACGGAGAAAACTCCCATAAGCAACATAATATATCTTCCAAAGAATACCATATCGAAGAGCTCAAAGACCTTTTGCTTCTCAAGTTTCTTCTCGTACCATATCATTACAGCTGCCGTAAGGAGCAAAATAAGACCGTGTCCAATATCACCAAACATAACGGCGAACAAGAACGGAAATGTAACAATTGCCGCCAACCCGGGATTAACTTCACGGTATTTCGCAACACCATAAGCATCCACAATGGTCTGAAACCCGACAGTGAACTTATTCGTCTTGTGATACGTTGGAGGCGTCTTTGTCGTCCTGAGCTCGTTGACAATCGTGGGAACCTGAAGCCCGGCGCGATCCGTAACATCTCTCAGACGCTTCTGAATAAGTGGCAACTGGTTCGTCGGTAGCCACCCTTCCGCAATCAAACATTTCCTTGCCGAGTCGTAATTAAACAAATTCAACGTCTGGTAGATCGCCTTCTCCTTCTTGATCACCACCATCCAGCTCGCAAGATTCTGCGCAATCATCCTCAACTCACTTGTCAACGTATTCCTAGTATTGTGCAAGACAGAATCAAGATCATTAATCCTACTGTTGACCTCGTGAAGCTGATCCCTGCGAAGAGTGTTATCCTCATCGACACTGTAGAGACCAGCGCCAAGAGACTCCGAAATCTTACGAATCTTGGCCAAAATCTCCTTTCCGTGAGCGAAAATTACGAAGACATTCTTGTCAACAGGTTCATTGGTGCTCGGGTCGACAATGGGCTCATCAATCTCCGACTGGTTCATATAAAGATTCCCTCTCAATGTTCGCCAAAGGATCCTCTCGAACGCGGCAATCCTATCCCTGCGAATCACACCAGCAACGAAGCCAATATTCATCGTCTGGAACATCGTATCTACATGCCCAGCGCTGCCAGCAGGAGTGGATTGCTCGACGTCTTCCAGTAAAGGCGCAGTGGGCTCATCAGTAGACCCACGGCGAATCTCCTCGGCCTGGCCATGAGCACGATCAAAGAATCCACCAGCCTCCCTTAATACCCAGCGAAACTCGACGAGCTCAACCCATCGTTTCTGGAGGGTTTCATGAGAAGCGTTCAACTGACTGACCCTCACTTCCAATTCGTCCGCACGGGTAGCAAGGTAATCGATCTCCGAGGCGCTAGGGGCGGCGGTGAGACTCGCATTATCGGGAACGGGTCGGACAGGAACCGAATTCTTTTCCATTTGCGCTCCGAAAAACCCTACAACACATTAATACCAAACACTCACTGGCTGACGGTCGAATAGAACATACGAAGCTGCCGTTCAACATTATCCAACCGGCGAATATCCTTCGTGAAAGTTCTCTGAAAAGCGGATGTCTCCGCATTTAACTACAGAGCAAATGATTAATTAGTTCTCCCCGCCGCTAGTACAACCACAACCCAACCTCGCCGTGCTGTGAGAATGGAGGAACCTACATCTCTAAACTGGAGCATCCCCACCTCGCCCAACTCACTGATGGCCTCCCGGCTTATTTCTGTTGCAACGTACAACTGTACGAGCGACATCTTCGCCGAACGGAACAGGGTGTCCTGGCCGCTCATGATGGCAGTTCTTTCGGCGAGCTGTCGAACGAACGACGGTGGTGTAGAATTGTGGTTTGATGACCTGACTGTAAAGAAAGGGTTGGGGATTTGGTGAAAAGTGAAGGGGTAGGGAAGGGGAAGTTGGATCGGAGGATAAAACCAAGCAGCTGCAGGACCGCGCAACAGACCAGGCGATGAGGGTATGGCTTGGCAACTGAAGCTTGGCGATGCGATACGCCAAGGCCTCCGCACGGGCTATCACTCAGTACTCGAGCATAGGGCAGTGTATCACGTCAGGACCTTGCGGCTACTAAAACAGAGGGCTAAATTGAATTACGAAGTGAGCACTGTATCAGCAAGTATGGTAGTATGAAGCAAATGTTAAGAGATAGGGGGAAACGGTAACATGTTATCGTTTCCGATTAGAACCAAGAACCTGGAGGGTATCTGCCACTGAGGTACCGTACTCCAGTTTCCCTACGCATATTACTTACCCTCTTTCACTAGTAAAAGTTTCTTGCTATATACCGGTATGAAATTGGGTGGCAGGTGGTTGTTACGGTTGTTCTTTGGGCTACTGCACTCGTACTATGCGGTAACGGCGATGTTTCTTCTAAAACCCTGCTATGGAAGGGGTCACGGCTTTTGCTTGGGGATCGTGGTGGCGGATCCCTACGATGGATTCGCTGGATTTCACTGCTACAGTGCACTAGTCGGCATGGGTGGGATCAAAAGTGCATGCGAGTATAGACGCCAGCTATTCTGTGAACAATACACCGTTTCTATGGGCTACCATGGGTGGGAATGTTCGTGGAATGGAGTATTAATCCTGATAAACCTGATAGATATGGTCAAGCACATTTATTTTTTACAGTCCGGTTTACAGTCCGGGGTGGAACTTCCCCTAGGAAGAGGTGCGGCTCGGGTGGCGCGATCAGCCGCTCCAAGCATCCCGTATCGTAGGCGTCGAGAGGACTTCAGTCGTGGGTGTCCTGGGCGTGGTGTTGGGGCGCGAGTTAGGGTAGGAGCGTTCGTCCTTTGGAGAAACTATCATACTGTCTAGGGAGGCGATGGTACCATAGCCTTTTAACTATCGGTAACGCCAGCCGCTCGTGTGCAGTGATCCATAGTTCCTCGCCTGTCACCAGTACCTGCAGCCCGTCTCGTCGGGACCTAAGAGACGAACTGACGGACTGGACACATAGCGTAAGAAACGTATCATAAGATCTGGGTAGGTGAGGTACCCGATGCCCTCCTACGAGTAGTGCTGATGTGGTGACAGGGACATCTATGATAATAATAATAATAATATTATTATTATTATGATATGTACCTTAAAATTGGAATAAACCTTACTGGAGCGACTAGCAATCACAAGTCGTCACTCAGCATAGACCCTGCGACAACCAACTCTCAATACCATTTCGGAAGAGGACTTTTGTTCACCCCACTCATCGTCAAATTATCCATTCCCCTCTACACATTGACAACACGAATATTAGACTGTAGGGGATGGAGGAAAGAAAAAAGACACCCACCAAACTCCAAAGACCAACAAAAAGCAAAAAAAAGATATAAAAAAATAAAGTATAAAAAATAGCCGACAAACAACACGTTCACATCCACATTCACATCTATTCGCCCATTGACCGTTACCCCCCTGCTAGGGCGAGCCCCAGATACGATACTAACACAAACTCCTCTCCTCCCCCTCCACGAACGCAGTCACCGAAATCAACAGCACAAAAAGCGTAACCAATTCCCCCAAGTCGCCAATGTCATCCAAGCGCTGGCCCCCGATCCCCGCATGCCGCTTGAACACGGTCATGATGACGCTGCGGTTCTCCGTGATGAATTGACGCCCCAGCTTGATAGCTGTTTGGTTCTGCGGGCCCTTGGACAGGATGACGCATGTTACGACGCGCATCGCATCTTGTAGGAGGTCGTAGTATTTTTGGAGGGCTGTTGGGTCATTTATGCCTTTTTTTTTAAAAAAAAATTAGTTTGGGAGGGGAAGGAGGTTGGGGGAGGAATGGACATACCGACGCCAAGGTCTGGGTCGACGGCGAATAGACGACTTTCTCGAAGAGCTTGGAAGAGGCCGGCGTTTATGACGTAGCCCGAGCCGCTACGCGTTTGGGAGACGCGCACGAGGAAGCCGGTTGTTGCTTTGAAGGAGCGCATTAGGTAGTCGATATCTGTGACTATTAGTTTCCCGTTCAGGATAAAAAAATGAAAAAAGGATGGGAAATCACCTTTGCTAGCTATATTCCGTAAATCGTGTCCAATCCGCTTTAACGAGTCTATGATGACAACAATAAAGTTTTGCCTCATCAAGGTGTCGACAACATAGCTTGATCCCTCATCCGCTGCAAGTCCGACTAGAGTTTCTAGGAGCAGTAATGCGACAATCTTACATTGTCCTTCTCCGGCGTAAGCGTCATTGCAGAGCACCTCGAGAAGTCTGTCCCCGGAGGCCTTGATCGTCTGTGTATTGTGGCGAGTCAGACCATTGGTTTGGGTAGACAGGTCGGACATTCCCTTCAAGTATCTATAAGCGATGTTGTAGAAGTCCTCGCGGAGGTTTGCCGTGGCCATAGGGGACTGAATGCATCGTAGGGAGATCCTGAATAGTTGATACATCCTGTCATTCGCCATGTCGGAAGCCCGTCCTTTCCCGAATGTTTTACTGTCGAAGGTAAGGTGAGTGGTAAGCGTATGCGCAAGAGAGCTGAGCTCCTGGGCGTAGACAATATCACCGCTGCAGTATGACTCGAGCTTCGGCAGAATGGATTGGAGAGCTGTGAGCAAGAATAGAGTCTTTGCCGAAGGTTCATATTCGCAATCCTCTAGCATTACTGCGATGAGTGTGCTCCAGGCTTTTAAGCATTCTAGATTGGCTCCCTTGAATAGTCGTAGTTGATTCTCCGCAAAGAGATAGTCTAGCAATGCCTTCATTTCAAGGGTCACGGAATCATCGTTCGAGTTATCGATGACTCCTAGGGCACCTAGCTCATTCCGTCTTAGTAGCAGAATCTGGTCAATAGTTGGTAGGTGGTATGATGGGTTGCCGAATGGGTCGTCCTGGTAGAACGCGGAGAGATTAACGTCGTTGAACCAAGTAATCTTAGGCGTTGGGATAGGTTCTGGCGCATCAAGTTCTAGGAAATCTAGGAGATCTAGAATATGAAGATTCGTCATGGATTGGCCATCCAGTACCGTCTTTCCCAACAATGTTGAGAGATACTTTGAGACTCCCGTCGATGCCCCTTGCGTCGACAGTTGCCGAATTTCGAGAGCAATATAATTGAACAAAGAAGTGCGTCTGCTAATGAAATTGCAGAAGCTCGCAGCAGCGCCCCTCGTGAAGAACTCGTCCGATTCAAATGGGATCCCATCCCAAATTGTTTGTCTCTGGACAATCTGTTCTGAAAGCATCTGAGAAAATAGCAACTTGTTGGCACGAAGAACATATAGAATCTCAGTGGAGGTGGCCGGTGATTTCCAGAGTCTTTTGAGAACCGAAAATATGTCATTCTTCAAGCGGCAAAGACCCCCATCATATGCCAGACCTGCTTCATCAGACTCGCGTGCATCTACATCTGTGAGAAGGCTGTGCAAGAGTGAGACGCCAGATCCGATTCCACCCGAGGACACACTAAGACTAATGCCCTCTTTCTCATCCCAACCAAATCCAAGAAGCATATGCGCAAGAGTAAAGTCATTCGGTTGCGACGCCAAACTACTATCCAACAGCTTCAAAATGGCGAATTTCTGCGGGTATCGCATATCCGTCTCTTCGCTGTCCACATCTGCTTCCCATTGTTGGATGAAGTTGAATAATATTCGATTCGATTCAGGACTCTGTTCAATGGCACCAAGGAGGCGGTTTTTGCGTGCCTGTTGCCCCAATGAAGAGCCCATGATTGATACTAGCTTCGGTGCTACGGAAAGCTTCTCCAAAAGACTTAGAGCAGCCAAAGTTACGTCTTGATATGCGCTTCCAACATACAAGCCAAGGCAGACAACAATATCTAAGTGATGCAGGATTGCTTCTTCGATAGAAGGAAACCCAGTCGAGATAGTATTCATTTTTCTCATCCCACTTTCATCCCGTTTGACCAGAGGACGAACGACTTCGAAATAGGTCGATTGCATCCTCATAGCAAGATCAAGGATGTTGATTGTCATCAAAATAGTTCGTAAGACTGGCATGGGCGCACCCGCAGACGCGAGATCATCGACTCCAATTTTTATAATCTCGTAAAGCACGTTGAAACATTTCTCCGTCAGAAGATGCTCCATGACCCGTGCGAATGGGTGCAACTTAGCATATGTTTCCAAAGAGGATGCTCCAATAGCAACATCGACGGCAACATTAGAACTAGCGATGTTCAATAAATCCTCATTAAAGCTTATGAGGCAGGTTTCAATGAACTCAAGGCAGCTAGATTGCAGAGCTGGCCGGAAAATCCTGTATTGAGCACGGGTGAGTCTCTCTGTCGGGTCATCGATCTTCTCGGGGACGAGAGGAAGATCTGGGGGGAGGTTTTGGAGACTCGTGTTGGTGAAAATGGTTCCGGCAATGAAGTCGATATACGGGTCAATCCCGGAAAGACGTGTGGAGCTGCCGAGGGTCTCCGGGAATGGGAGGGAATCCTTAAGAAGAGAATCCTCCACGGGTGGGGAGACTAATGTTGCCATCAGTCGGGCAAATCCCTCAGCTGGGTGTACCGCTGTCACAATGGCATCCAGTTTCTCCGAAGCTCCAGCCTGAGCGAATGGCTTCCCTGATATGGAACCGAGTTGTAGGGCATTTGATGGTGGAGCAGGTGTACCGAGTGCCCAATTATCGATGGCAATCCACACTTGGGAATTCAGGTTCTCAGTCTTCTCCGTTAGAAATGCGGTGATGGCTGAGAACACAGAGTCCCACAATTGAACCGAAGCCTGTAAAGCCAAAAGATCGAACAACGCGACCATGATCCGGAAATTAGGGCTCTCATGAAGTAGCCAATGTCGAGAAGCTAGCGATTCTTGGGCAACCTGAGCTATTAATCTTAGGTACCCATCTAACATCATACTTGACTCGGGCGGGGGTTCCGCGACAGTTTCGGCAGGTATGGCGGGAGTTCTGTAAGAATTGGTAGGCACCAAAGCTTTATGCCGTATCCTAAGCTGCTCGATGTATTTCTGGAATTCCTTAAAGAGCTGCTCCCAGGAGAGGTATTGGGTTCTCCGGTTCTTCTTAGAACCAGGAGTAATCTCGTCCTGGAGGAAACGATGCGTGTGCTCGGCGGCAGTCACCCCAAGAGCGAGTGATGCCAACATATAACTGAATGTAGCAACCATGAATGGCATATGGCTGGTTGAAGCCCAGACAATGAACCCATGCAAATTACTCTCTGGGTCAACCCAGAACGCCATTCCGGCATTCCGTCGACCAAGATATGTGTAATGTATCATCATGTAAAACCGCTCCAAATCGTAACCGCATGTCCTTTGCGTCAATAGCACATCCTCCTCTTCTTGCGTTTTCATCTGCTTCAACAAGTCTGCCATATTCGAGATGAAGCATTCGATGAAGATTTCGAACTGACTGATCATGAGGGACTTGAATGATACTGAAAGCAATTTGTTGTCTTCCAGCGGGGCCACTCGTGTTTGTAAGAACCTGTGAAGATCCTCCTTCGCGGAATTGAGATACCATTCTGCGCTGACATCCGCAGATACCGCGAGCATAAATTCGAAAGCACCACCCTCTAAAGCAGCCTTCGACGGGCCAAACACATGTGTAAAATAGTCCAATGTAGCGGAATCAGGCGGCTCTGCCGACGATGGATCGTTACATAGGCCGTTGAACTCACTCAGCCACCATATCTGAACCGAAGCCTGAACAAATCTGAGGGGCCATGGCGCACTCTTATATTCGTTAAGCATATACTTGTGCAACTCTACTGTCTGCTGAAAGTTAATAGGCGAGTCCGGATCGCAAAGGACGGTACAGAAAGAGTATAGCGGTAGGATATGGTGGAATGCAAATATATCGTGCTTCTCGAAGGATTTGACAACACCCAAGAGGTTCTTGAAATCTGAGACGGCTGCCCTCTTCAATTTGACCAAGTAAAAAACAATGGATGCCAGTGCTTCGTGCTGGTTCATTAAAAACCGAACCTGGACCTCCAAATCCTCCTTAAACCCAGGAGTTGGGACTAATCGTAGCGTCTGCTCATGCCGTTCTTTCTCTCGTAATTGCTGGACAGAAGCCCGAACTGAAGCCATGGTGGAAATACATTTCTCAGCAAACGACCCGGAACCACTAGCAGCCGCGGGAGCCTTTGGAGAAGCTAACAGGTTTGCAGCTTGCTTTGCAGCCCTCCGGATCTCTGGATCGATCTCATCGTTAAGGGCGTAGGAAAGGATTAACCGTAGAGACTCGAGGATGTTCTGTCGGCGGGTGTGGAAGAGGAAGACGGCGCTTTGAAAAGCATTCCGATCAAGAACTTGTGATTCCTTCTGTCCACGTAGTAGCAGGCGCGCAGCCTCAACTTCGTCCATGTCGAAGTCATCGGAGAGTTGTGTAGCTTCTTGGATGAAAACCTCGTTGATCTGGAACTCTCCTTCCTCGGTGGTCAGTTTGCCTAAAATTAGTACGAGTTAGCGATCCGCCGCTTCGTTTAACGCGTGGGGCGGCGACGTTGGGGTTTTCCTACCAGACTTGACTTCTGTACGGCTTGCATCGCTTTTTGGTGGTATGTCGAGAAGCTTCTTCAACTGGTCTAAGTTCTCTTCTAACAGTTCTTTCATTAGAGATGGGTTAACGCCCGGGGTTTCGACGACAGCTAGTAGAGCATTGTAAAGGCTGAGGCAGTCATCAGCGGAAGGCGATGGTGAGGGCGCCATAGTGGGTTATGGGGGGAGAAAAGGGAGGGGAAAGGAGAATACTAGGCGGTGGTGAAGTGTGCTGGCAAGGGTGAGGATTTTGATGTGTATGATAGCAAAACGAGCAAGGGAAGTCGCGCGCTGGTTTCGTCTTAATGAGTACGCCAGTTACAAGGCCCTGAATTGTAGTAAGTCTGA